ATAACTTTACCTGTATATTTAATTAATAAGGACGACGTCAGTAGCATTTGGCATTGTGTGCGAGGTTATTCTCGCACATATTCATAGCATTGTGGTGAATAATGGAATTCGGCAATATACTTTGACCCACATTTATATGTCGCTTCCTACGTCACGTGTTTATTTTTAACAGCGCTTTAAAAATACAATCGGGAATTCCAGTTGAATGCTCCTTGTTTTGTTGTGTGTGTTAACACAGTGTTTAGATCCACCTGGTGGCGCACCTCACACAAGCTGGCCACAGTTACACTGACGTGTGTCATCCTGTTACACTTGGCTGGTGTCTAGTAGCGCTCGTGTGTTATTGTCCGTCATAACGGTACAACTCACGCAATTATTTCGTCTTTGTTGGTGTAAGAATGTGTCATTCTATCATTCGTGGAAGTGATACGGTTTTTCTTTTGAAGCGTTCATCGACGTATTTTGAATGTAATGTTTAGATCGCGTATTAATTAAGATTAAAAACATGGACTATTAAATTATTGTTTTGTTATAACTACGGGCATGTTTTGTATTAAACGAACAGTGCTTTTTCTTATGTTGACAAACCGAATGTTAAAACAACAAGCTTAGTTATGTTTACGTGGTTTAACATTTTGTATTGCCGCTATTGACAGTGGCTTGGATCAGTAGGCTATAACAAGAGTGTGGTAAAGGACAGTTTCCCAGTTTGTTTGTGTCAGACAGGTAGGCCGTGTGGTGACATAGCACCTTACAGGTGAGGCATGCTCCAGCAGTTGCTTGCACTTTAGCTGCTTGTCTCGTGCCGTGTTACATCACCTCCCTACCTGGGGCTAAACCAGGTCAGCTCTTGTTAGGTCAACTTTTCTAAGGTCATCTGTAACCAGTCTGTTGTAAGGTCATCTGTCTGTTAGGTCACGTGCCTTATCTAAACCTCGGACAACTGTCTCTAGCCGTGTCATGATGACCTGTACTTTTACCCCCTTGGCCAACAATACATCTGTAAAAACCAAAACAAGATGAATAAAATCAATATCTTGTGCCGGGTTTAGCTGGAGGTGGTAGGGAGTCATACGCTTGATATCCATCCATCTGTTTAAGATTAATTTTTTTTTTCTGTTCCAGTTTTCAGCCTATTAGAAAAGATGTGTCATTTCTCATAACATACAATATGTATACAAGTGTGAGTTGTATTCCAATCTAGGCCTACGTGATAACGTTGACGTTGGTGTATGTTATCACTGTGTCTTTGTGCGGCTCGTAGATTGTATTAGTACCTCTCGTGCCACCAGACTCCGAGCTCTAGTTACTCGATAGTTTTGAGAGTTGTTCTCTCCTGCCTCCATCTCTTTTATTTAAAGGCCGTGGGTCTGACGTCATGGGGAATTTCACTGGACAGGCGTGAGTCTGGCCTGTCTGGGAGAGTCCGCACTTTAGTTGCAGGCTGGGATGAGGTGGGGTTAGATGTTTCAAATCCTCGGGGATGGGGGTGGGTGGGGTTAGATGTTTTAAATCTTCGAACGACGTGCTGTTAGCTCTGGTATCCTGAGTCTTATATTAGTTATGTCCTGTCACATTTTTTTCTCTTAATTTTTTAGTGATTTTAAAAATAGAATAATGTAATTAGAATGGCCTTCCCCTCACCCTATTTGATTGGATATCCGGGTCTGTCCGTTTTAATCAATCTTGAACGTAAAGCTCATGTTGTATTTACTGTCGTTCATTGTTTGATGCAGATGTGTAATCAACACGAAGAATTTTATTTATGACTTGTGTGTTTATAAGAAATTTAGCCGCCATGGTGTTTTTATTCTTCTGGTTTGTTCACGTGTTGCCTAGTCTAAAGTTCAAGGTCAAAATGCTTTTGGTTTCAGTATTTTCGTGACACCATAGACGTCGTCATTTCTTCTTAAAGGAAATTCCCGAAAAAAAGAGTTTTTCGTTTCCGCAGCATCTTAGAATTGTTGGTCTGATTTTGTGTGGGTTGTGTATAAGCTAGGGCCTAGTCACTTGATGTTGTAGTTGTACTGGTAATCTAGATTAAATTGTGTTTGTTGTTTTTTGTATGTGTGTGTTGAATTCTTGTGTTGAGTGATTTAAGAAGATGAGTTGATGAGGTGAGTGGACAAGATTGTGTTTATGAGGCCGCCTCTCATGTACACGGTGACTCGTCTGTTTACTACCAGTAGGATTGGCCGCATGAGTTACGTCACTTTTGTTTGTGCCTGCTGATATATTTCATTCATTGGATTCCGGTTTCTTTCAGTAGCTAGTGATACGTGATAGACTCCGTGGTTTTATGTTGGAGATATGTAGTGTTCGGTTGTGGTCTGTGGTTTATTAAAGTTATCATTCTTGTTTTCTCAAAGACTGGAAGAGACAAAAAACAAGAGTCTACGTACAAGCGTTGTTTTTGTGTGTAGGAACCTGACCTAACGGTAACTGGATACTTTAAGTATGGATGGGAGACTGTAAGCCGTAGAACAGTGCCATTAGCGGCGACAGTGTCCTACAGTTATTGATTTTTGTGCCATTTTCTCCTTATAATTATTTAGGTCAACGAGTTAAAACACTTGATTTTTTTTTCTGTGAAAATAGTTTGGTTATCGAGTTTTTAAACTTCCGCGAATCAGGTCGCTAGCTAGTCTTTCCGTGAATTGAATATGTTCCTTCTCTGAATTTTTTCCTACGTTTGATTTTTCCCGTGTGGATCTACTGTCAGGGTGAAGCGTACAACGCCCACCTAACGTCAATAGTACGAGTGTATGATGTAGGGACCCGCCTCACTGAGGTAATGACAACTTGAGGTCTTTTATCTCCGTCATACCTACAATCATGTGCACTTTATCGAGCTGCTCATCTATCTCCTTGACCTGGTCTTGTACAGGTGATGTGGGGGGGGGGGGGGGTTATATCCTTGTAACAGTGAAGAAATCCTCATTACCTGTACTTAGGCACGTACAAACTAACCCTAACAGGTAAATGGACACACCTTTAAGTTGGACCCAGCCAATACCTGATTAGTGCTCACACTGTGTTGCGGGGGTCAAGCCACCGGAAATACTAGGATAGATTGATCTAAAAATAAACAGCCTGGCCCATATCACGGAAGTTTGTGTGCGTTGACCTAATTGATTTGTTAGCGAGTGGTTTCCAAAAGTGTCAATAATTGATTGGTCATCATATGGTGTTTACTCTTTCTTAGACTCAAGTTGTTGTCATTCGGTGTTGATTAGTTCACTGACTGTAACTTTGATAAGAACACACGCATTTTAGTACGTGAAAAATACACGAACAGCTAGTATAGATTTTTGCCCTACCCTAACCGTAGTTCTAATCCAGAGCCCTCGGCTACATAGCCCTCCAACAAATGGACAGATAACAAAAGCACCATATTCAACTTTTTTAGTTCTACCGGATTGTATCATTCAAAAATAGTTTGTTTTATTTTTTAAACTTAACATCCGTGTCAAAAGTTGTTGTGGAAAGGAATTCAATCAATACAGGACTGGGGACGGTGTAGGATATCCTGGTTGGTGAATGAGTGTACGTCACGGGACCTTCTGTGAATAGTTCTGAGCATTGGATACTGTTTGAATACGTTCTTTAAGATTTGAGACAACTGGATCCCTGGAAGTGTTGTATAGGTTAGCTAGAACGGTAAAACCTACCACTTAGCATTCCGTACCCACAAGAAAAGTAGGTTCTTCCACACTAGACGTACTTTAAGGTTTCTGTGGCTAGTGAAGCGATACATCTAAACCTAACCAGTTGACGATACTAGATATTAGGTAATCGATACAAATCAGCCATTAGCTAACCGATACAATTCAGCTATTAGCTAACCGATACAAATCAGCTATTAGCTAACCGATACAAATCAGCTATTCTTTGACCCAGTTAGACAATAGCGGATGATCAGCGGATCACATGTTTCATCTGATCACCATGTTACGCTTGTTAACTCAAGCTGACGCTACAGCGGGCTGTTTGCTTCACGCTTGCCTAGTTTTCTACATCGCCTTTTGCCGTTCCTCGTCATTCGTCATCTTTCATATCTCTCTCCCTCTCTCCTACATCTTAAGGGCGTGTCTTTAGAAGTGTCCTCTTGAAAACAAAGTCGCTATTCTTCTGCAGTGATTCATGAGCAATCTACGGCGGCCCCTTAGCTTATACTCCATGCAGTGCTAGAATCCCTAATGTTGTTTAGAAAGATCCCTCACCAACTTCGGACATAAACAGTTGACTGAATATGGCGAATTGGTGTGTGGTTTTTACATGACAAGCAGTGGCTACATGTAGAATACCTTTTAGAAGTCGGTAGTTGGTATAGATTTAGTTGTTGGTGTGTGAATTGTACATGACGAGCAGTGGCTACAATTAGAGTACCTTGTAGAAGTTTGTAGTTGGTATAGATTTAGTTGTTGGTGTGTGGTTTTTACATGACAAGTATTACCTACATGTAGATTACCTTGTAGAAGTTGGTAGTTGGTATAGATTTAGTTGTTGGTGTGTGGTTTTTACATGACGAGCTTTGCCTACATGTAGATTACCTTGTAGAAGTCGGTAGTTAGTATAGATTTAGTTGTTGGTGTGTGGTTTTTACATGACGAGCTTTGCCTACATGTAGATTACCTTGTAGAAGTCGGTAGTTGGTGTAGATTTAGTTGTTGGTGTGTGGTTTTTACATGACGAACTTTGCCTACATGTAGATTACCTTGTAGAAGTTTGTAGTTGGTATAGATTTAGTTGTTGGTGTGTGGTTTTTACATGACAAGCATTGCCTACATGTAGATTACCTTGTAGAAGTTGGTAGTTGGTATAGATTTAGTTGTTGGTGTGTGGTTTTTACATGACAAGCATTGCCTACATGTAGATTACCTTGTAGAAGTCGGTAGTTGGTATAGATTTAGTTGTTGGTGTGTGGTTTTTACATGACAAGCAGTGGCTAAAGTACCTTGTAGAAGTCGTTAGTTGGTATAGATTTAGTTGTTGGTGTGTGGGCGAGTCTGGAAGCTTCCACCAGAAGTGATGCCAGTAGAATAAAAATTTTGATTGGCCGTTTCATCTTTCCGCTATTTATACGACAGTGGTAGTTGATAGCCCATTACACCAGTTAATTGAGTTGACGATATACGATAGTGTGTGGGTGGGGGATGTTTCACAACAGATATTGATTTTTCTATCTTTTTAAATGAGATAAGTATAAGCTTCGTATGAGCCGGGACAGCGTGAGAAATTTGCGTGACGTCACTTCCGCTTTGTTTTGTCAATGGGAGGAGGCGTAACCACTACGCTGTGACCTAGTGCGTTAGTTGTAGCCTAGCCTACAACTTAGCGACAGCTGTCTGCCGGGGCGTCTGGGCCGTCGCGCCGCTTCCCAAATTTTCACTTCTGCTCCTGTGTTTAGTCATGTTTCGCTTTTACAAGGAGCTAATGTACGAACTTATGAGGCCGTGTTCTTTATTGGGGATGTATTTTAGGATTTCGAGTCCGATAAGGATAACATTGATGTTATTATTGCCGCAGTTTTAAAATGTCGTGACTTGAATTAATGAAGAAAAAAAAATGTACGGTGTATTCTTGTTGTGGATGCACGTCAGTGTTCTATTAATAACTGGGTTTACCGAGGTCAATATTGTTAGCCTGTGTATTACGTCATGACAGCCGGCCCGGATACGCTGTGGTCTAGTTGTGTAATGTTGGTCTAGGGTTCCTTATGACCGGCGTTTTTACCTCGTTTGTTCTACAGGCAGTTGACACTTTTCAAACCTGATTATTATTATTTAAACACACGGCTGTTTTATTTCAAGGATTACTTTGTGCTTAAAAATAATCAGTAATAACTTATTTGAGCGGATTATTTGTATAAAAAAAACACTTTAGGATTGTTGAATGGAAATGTGCAAAGGATAATTTGTTGATCTTTGTTGGATTTGTGGACACAGGATGTCGCGTACTAGAGGTAGGTTGAACTTCTTGTTTTCATAATGGGGGAGGGGGAGGGCGTTATAATGTACTGGGGATATTTTGGTGGTTAACATAGTGTAGGGCTTTGGCTTTAGACTAAAGTTACATGGTTGGTGTGTTTGATTCGTTTAACTAGGACGAATGGTACCAATTACAAATGGTATCTACTAGATCTAACTGGTTTCTATTCTAAATGGTGCCTACTAACTGAATTATTGGTGATGCCTACTAACTCAACTCTATTTGTGTCTACCAACACTGGTAGGCTTGTAATGTTTTCTTGCCGTCTATCCTTCATGGGAAGTAGACTCTTTGTTGTTTCAGAACTCGGTAGCTCAGATTTGGTGGGGGGGGGGGGGGGGGAAGGTAGCATAAAGAACGGCTGTCACTGTAGTTCACTGTACGTTTGTAAACTGTACCCACACCTCCCCTCACCCCACATGATATTATGCCTGAGGCGAGGGGGGAGAACCTCAAGTCACTACCTCTGAACGTTCCAGAAAAAAATATGGGGGGGGGGGGGGTGTCAACACACGGGCAGCAGGTGTTTGTCTGCTCACAAAGACCGGCGCTAATGTAGGTCATTGGGAGCATGCACACGTTTTTTTTTGTTGTTGTTTGGTTTCACTCGCGTGCTGTGTGCTAGCCTCCTCTGTAGACTGGGGTAGAGGGTGGGGTCAACTCTAATATTATTTCCTCTGGTGTTGAATGTCAAATACAATTATTTAGATACATAAAAACGTAATATTTTAAAGGCATTGATGTACTTTAAGTATAGCTCTAATAATTGTCGCCTTGTCATTGCATATGTGAACATTTTCAACTTTTTAAAAATATTTCCATTAACTATTGTTAAGACATGAATGTATGCTCTATTACATATAGTACATACTAACACACATTATTTGTACACTATGATACATTAAATGTACACAGTAGTGTACATTATATGTACACCATAGTATAAATTATGTGTACATCCTAATGTGCATTGTTTACACCCTGGTGTAAATTATGTGTACATCCTAGTATAAATTATGTGTACATCCTACTTACATTATGTGTACATCCTAGTGTACATTACACCCTAGTATAAATTATTTGTACATCCTAGTGTACATTATGTGTACACTGTGCTGGTGCTGGAGTGTGGAAGCTATATTTGCTGACTTCACTACCCATACCCTAATTCTGACCTCATACCTATACTAAACCTGTATTGTTGCAAGATCATATAGAGGTCAGAATCAAATATTAGTATAACAGTACCAGTATGGGGTCAAAGTGAAGTAGCAAGCTGTGTGTACAGCCCAGCACACAGACACCACATACACACCCCACCACATACACACCCCACCACATAGACACCACCACCACATAGACACCCCCACCACATACACCCCCACCACATAGACACCCCCACCAGTCTCCTCATAAAGCTGTTCTCTGTCCCCCCACAGGTTGGCTATACTACACAGTGAGTCAATTGGCTGACAAGTCTACCAGGGAATCACTAGCCATTCAGCACCTCAAGGCTTCTGTAGACATTGATGCTTCCAATGGACAGGCATGGTACCTGTTAGGCAGGTAAGACTGGCTGCTCTTGTCTGGTGTCTATGTTTCTGTCTACTTGTGTCTGTGTTTCTGTCTATTCATGTCTGTGTTTCTGTTACTGGTGTCTGTGTTTGTGTCTACTTGTGTCTCTGTTTCTGTCTACGCTAGTCTGTGTCATTGTTACCAATCCAGCTAAATAAATTCCTATCCTAAAGAGTTATAGATATCTCTTGTGTTGAGATGCCTGTCAACATGTGAGTTAACAGAGCCCATCTCTAGCCTAAGGTCCCTAGTTAAACAGCTGACATAGTTTATATGTAACTTGCTGAAGGTTAAAGGGGATGGATGTCAGTATTAAACACATTCTTGTGTAACTTTTCTTACTTGACATGACTTATCTGGTAAGACAGTCCATGTAAAGCGAAGTGGAACTTGAACTAAACATATTGTTGCCACAAATGTTACCAATATAATAAAAGTTTGTTTACATGTTTGTTTGACAAATTATTCAACAACTAATGTGAAGGCATCAATCTCTTTTAGCAAACATAAAAACATAACCTATCACATGCCTATATATCTTGTTGTGTAGCTATTGTTTTTGTCATTTTAATCTATTTTAATGTCCATGTATTATTTTAACGAGTTAAAATTGTTATGTCTGGTTGTTAAGTAAGACTTATACCAGGTTGTCACACCTGGTTGCCATGTCTTGTAATACCTAATTCCTCTGCCTGTTATTTCCAGGTGTTTTTCTGGTGTGGGAAGAGTTCATGATGCCTTTGATGCTTACCGTCAGTCTATTGACAAGTCAGAGGCGAATGCTGACACTTGGTGCTCCATAGGGTCAGTAGTTTGTCATCATATTATGGTGTGGTAGTTTATCATATGCTGCAGTAGTTTGTCATCATATTATGCTGCAGTAGTTTGTCATCATATTATGCTGCAGTAGTTAATCATATGCTGCAGTAGTTTGTCATCATATTATGCTGCAGTAGTTTGTCATCATATTATGCTGCAGTAGTTAATCATATGCTGCAGTAGTTTGTCATCATATTATGCTGCAGTAGTTTGTCATCATATTATGCTGCAGTAGTTTGTCATCATATTATGCTGCAGTAGTTTGTCATCATATTATGCTGCAGTAGTTTGTCATCATATTATGCTGTAGTAGTTTATCATATGCTGCAATAGTTTGTCATCATATGCAGCAGTAGTTTGCCATCATATGCTTCAATAGTTTGCCAAGTAGATTTCTCATGTTTATGGCATGTTCAAACAAATACCAAACTTACAGAAACCATTTAAATTATTGCCTGAAGAAGTACACAACTAGAGTAGTTGATCTGATGTCTTTATCTTATATTCCAGGGTGCTATACCAGCAGTAGTTGATATGATGCCTTTATCTTGTATTCCAGGGTGCTATACCAGCAGTAGTTGATCTGATGCCTTTATCTTGTATTCCAGGGTGCTATACCAGCAGTAGTTGATCTGATGCCTTTATCTTGTATTCCAGGGTGCTATACCAGCAGTAGTTGATCTGATGCCTTTATCTTTATTCCAGTGTACTATACCAGCAGTAGTTGATCTGATGCCTCTATCTTGTATTCCAGGGTGCTATACCAGCAGTAGTTGATCTGATGCCTTTATCTTGTATTCCAGGGTGCTATACCAGCAGTAGTTGATCTGATGCCTTTATCTTGTATTCCAGGGTGCTATACCAGCAGCAGAACCAGCCCATGGATGCTCTCCAGGCCTACATATGTGCAGTACAGTTGGACAAGTCACACTCGGCAGCTTGGGCTGACCTGGGCGTCTTATACGAGACATGCAATCAGCCCAATGATGCTCTTACCTGTTACCTCAATGCTACAAGGAACTCTGGTCAGTTCATCCTTCTAGCCTAACTTTGTTGTACCAGCTCTGGTCAGTCTATCCTTTTAGTCTAACATACCAGCTCTGGTCAGTCTATCCTTTTAGTCTAACATACCAGCTCTGGTCAGTCCATCCTTTTAGTCTAACACACCAGCTCTGGTCAGTCTATCCTTTTAGTCTAACATACCAGCTCTGGTCAGTCCATCATTCTAGCCTAACTTTGTTATACCAGCTCTGGTCAGTTCATCCTTCTAGCCTAACATACCAGCTCTGGTCAGTCTATCCTTTTAGTCTAACATTGCTGTATCTGATAGTGCATAAGAATCTATTTCTCTTGATTCAATGACACCCATGTAACTGCAGCCTACAAAAAACATGTAATTATCTCCAGCAAGTTAGACATGTTTGCTATGTTGCATTGTGTGGATTCAGCTAAAATTAGCTTTTTCTAATCAAGATTGTTGGGGAAGCTTGTATTGTTTGGTGACACATGTTTAATCATTTTAGATAAAACTTCTAATTTTCATTATTGTTTTGTTTTTGGTTGCTTTTGGTGCATGTATAAATAATTAGGTTATTAGAAATATATTACTGTAAGAGTCCTAACAATATAATAAACTATAAATAAACACTATTTTACTCAAATGTTTATTTAATAGCTATATTCACTTCATAACAGAATTTATTTATACTCTACTAGCCAAAATAATTTTTATGAATTTCTTAATTATTTCTTTTTATAATTAGAATTTCCTTTATATTATTTCCAAATAATTTTTTACTTTTAAAATAATATTTTTGTCTGTCTGCTTTACAGAATCAAACTCAAATTTGGCAGCCAAGATAAAATTTTTGCAGCAAAATCTGGCCAACATGCCTCTCCAGCATTTTCAAAACAAGTAAGTTGACTGGTTAGGTTGGGTGTGGTAACCGGTTAGGTTGGGTGTGGTAACTGGTCAGTTTTATGTTTACTGCTGCTGTTGTTGTGATGAGTATGTTGGGGTGTGTTGGTTTGTTGATGTTCACTCAGCTCTTGTTTCCTTGTGTGCTGTGTTGGTGTTTGTACACACACTCAGCCCTTTTGGTGTGTTGTGAAGGTGTGTAGGTTGATGTTCACTCAGTTCATGTCTCCTTGTGTGCTGTGCTGGTGTTTGTACACACTCAGCCCTTTTGTTGTGTTGTGAGGGTGTGTAGGTTGATGTTCACTCAGTTCATGTCCCCTGTGCTGAGCTGTTGGTGTGCTGTGTACCCACTCAAGTCTTTCATGGTGTTGGGGCTGATTGAGTGGGATTCATGTTTTTGAAGAATGAGATCTGTCATAGCATCTTTCTGTTTTAATATCACTGCAATCTAAAGCAATTAATACCAGACACATAAAGGGTAAATAACATCAGTTTAATCTTGTTTTAGGACAGGTCTTAATCTGCTTCTGTTCTCTTGTTTTTTTTAAACTGAATTTCTCTCCCAGTTTTTGTTCTTTTTGTAACATTTATTGAGCAAAGTATCCTTTCAGACTAAATAGTCCATAGGACAGATAAATCTCGTTAGTATGTTTGACCTGTGTAGATGAAGTGCCAGTGTGGTTATTACTAAACTCATCTACCTTTACTTTCCCTGACTAGAGCGAGCTACCCATCCAGTGCTGTGGACCCTAGGGTCATCCTGTGTAGTATTCCCCTAGCATGTCAAACATGGACTTGCCTTATGAATCATATTGCTAGTATAGGTTGTTGTGTTTGATGCTGATCTGGTTTTGTTTTTACAGAACTCAAACTTTACCTAGCATCGAAGAAGCCTGGCGATTACCTATCCCTGCAGAACTGACGTCTAGGCAGGGGAATACAGGACCTGGCGCAGGTCCTGCATCAGGACGTGGCACAGGACAACCTGGCCAGGACTCAGATTCTCACTTTACAGATGATGAGAGAAGACGAAAGAAGGATAGAAAAAGGGTGAGCTAGATTCACATTTTAAAAAGTGAAAGCACTAGCTAATGAATATTTGTGCTAAGATGTTGACAGTGCTTAAATTTACATTTTTAAAACAATTAAAAGCAGTAGTTAATTAATATATGTGCTGCGATGTTGACTGTGCTTGAATTTACATTTGCAGCCATCAAGCGAACCTCTAGAAATGCCCCCACCACCCCCTCAACCGCCTGCTACGCTCTCACAGAACCAGTACCACATGATGCAGCGTCTAATGAGCAACCAGGCCAATCTCAACCAGGCTCAGCAAAACCTTCTACGGCAGCTTCAGCAGCAGCATTCATTGTCACAACAATACAAGGTAACAGCAGCATTCATTGTCACAACAATACAAGGTAACAGCAGCATTCATTGTCACAACAATACAAGGTAACAGCAGCATTCATTGTCACAACAATACAAGGTAACAGCAGCATTCATTGTCACAACAATACAAGGTAACAGCAGCATTCATTGTCACAACAATACAAGGTAACGACAGCATTCATTGTCACAACAATACAAGGTAACAGCAGCATTCATTGTCACAACAATACAAGGTTACAGCAGCATTCATTGTCACAACAATACAAGGTAACAGCAGCATTCATTGTCACAATAATACAAGGTAACAGCAGCATTCATTGTCACAACAAGGTAACAGCAGCATTCATTGTTACAACAAGGTAACAGCAGCATTCATTGTCACAACAATACAAGGTAACAGCAGCATTCATTGTCACAAGGTAACAGCAGCATTCATTGTCACAACAATACAAGGTAACAGCAGCATTCATTGTCACAAGGTAACAGCAGCATTCATTGTCACAACAATACAAGGTAACAGCAGCATTCATTGTCACAACAATACAAGGTAACAGCAGCATTCATTGTCACAACAATACAAGGTAACAGCAGCATTCATTGTGTCACAACAATACAAGGTAACAGCAGCATTCATTGTCACAACAATACAAGGTAACAGCAGCATTCATTGTCACAACAATACAAGGTAACAGCAGCATTCATTGTCACAAGGTAACAGCAGCATTCATTGTCACAACAATACAAGGTAACAGCAGCATTCATTGTCACAACAATACAAGGTAACAGCAGCATTCATTGTCACAACAATACAAGGTAACAGCAGCATTCATTGCCACAACAATACAAGGTAACAGCAGCATTCATTGTCACAACAATACAAGGTAACAGCAGCATTCATTGTCACAAGGTAACAGCAGCATTCATTGTCACAACAATACAAGGTAACAGCAGCATTCATTGTCACAACAATACAAGGTAACAGCAGCATTCATTGTCACAACAATACAAGGTTACAGCAGCATTCATTGTCACAACAATACAAGGTAACAGCATTCATTGTCTCATTAACTGCCTTATTTAATAATAAATTCTCCTCTTGTTGCAGCAGCAACAGTCCCAGGGAAGATTAACTCATCCAGGTGAGTACAAGACCAGCTTTCATCATCACACTGTTAGCATTAGAGTAGCTTACCTTTATATCTATGTACTGTCGTAACACTAATGAACTTAATTTATTGCTCGGCAGTTGGTCCAGCCCTCCCCTCATCCAGTTTGTCGCCACTAGGGATTGGCGCTCTACCAGGCATGCATTCATCCAGCTCCCAGTCTCTGATGGGTGGAGGCTTGATGAGCCCACTAGAGCCAAGCCCCTCCAAGATGCTGGACGAGAAGTTCCCCTTCTCCTCCCAGGACATCGCCATGGCCGAGGATGTTTTAGCCCAGATGGCCGGGGACCGTAAAGGGAGCTCATCTTTATCATCATCACCCTCCCTAGGTTTACCCTCGTCTGAGGGGGCGTTGGCTGCACTCACTCACCTCACATCCTCATCTCTAGACAACCAAGGCAGCAAAGACTCGGGCACCGTGCCCAACAGTTCCAACAACACCAGCAATGGGAACACCCAGGGAAGGACAACCCCAAGTGGCCAAGGGCGGTTAACTCCGAGCTCTACCTCCGTACATTCCTCCTCTCCCCAAGGCTCGACACGAGGCGACGGTGAGAGCAACTACGACGAGGATGAGGACGACCTGAATAAAGACAGCAAGTACTCCAAAGACATTTTCACCGTCTGCGCCACCAAGGAACTGGGACTGGTCCTCAAGCGCAGCTCAGTCGACGCCTCCCTGCTCCAGAAGGAAGTCCGTCCAGCTGTGGTCACTCTGGATACCAGCATGAGTGGGTCAAAGATCATGGAGTTGACTAAAGGTCAAGGGTTAATCCATTCAAATCTAAGCAGCATCCTGGGTGAAGATCACCCTCCACCTCACCCCCCACCAGCGCCAAGCCCACCGTTACCTAAAGATTCATTGAACCCACCTACTCCCAGTGTCTATGTAAGTCCCACCTTAGTGCTAGCTTATGTTTTTAGTAATCATACATATATATAGATATAGATGTATATATAAAGTATTTTTGGTTCAATTCTAGTGCTTGTAAGTTAGATCTTAAACCTTCTTTAGAGACAGATATAACTAAATTTTACAATAGCTTGATTTCAAGTCCCTGGTGCATAGAAATTTTTAAGAAATTTAATATTAAACAATTTTTAGCATCATAAAATATTTTTAATCTTACATTTTCAACTGATAAGACTAGTGTTGTACATTTGTTTTATTTACTTTAATGAATGTTGCCTGTTACTGAACATGATTGTAAAAAATGTATTGGACCTTAATGAATGTTGCCTGTTATTGAACATTGTTTTTTTGTTCATAGCTGGACAATAAGAAAGATGCTTTCTCCATCCAACTTCAGCAATTCTGTCATCAACAGCCTGTGGTTGTTATACGTGGCATTGCTGGGGCATTGAAATTAGGTTGGTCATCTTGTTTTGTGTGGAACATTTAGTGTATTTACGTGTAACATTTAGATAGTGTATTTAAATGTAACATAAAATGTAACATTTAGATAATGTATTAAAATGGAACATTTAGTTTATGTAAATGTTCCATTTTAATACATTGTCTATTAAATTAAAATGTAACATTTGGATGTAACATTTGAAAAACAAGTTGAAAATATTGACCCAAATGATATTTTTCAGATTTAGGTTTGTTTTCCACCAAGTCTTTAGTAGAAGCCAACCCTGACCATCCAGTTGAAGTACGAACACAAGTAAGTCCCACACTTGTTTTTCTAGTCCTGAACACCTTAGATCAGTTTTTAATGCTATTAGAAATTGAAATTAAATGTAGTTATCAATTAGTAGTAGATGCTGTATTCTGTTAGACCAGATCAACCTAGCTCTTCACTTTATTATTGGGCCTCCTGATTGTATTATGGATTTTTTTTAGCTTCTCTTAGATTAGATTTACAGACTCCAGATACTAAAGCCCACATGTTTTTTCTGTACTTTAGAAGCAGCAAGCACCGGATGAAAACTTTGACTCCTCAGGCAAGAGACTCTGGTACTGTGACAGCACAAGAGGCGTCACGACGGTGGCAAAGTATGCGCAGTATCAAGCCTCGTCTTTCCAGGAATCTTTAAGGGTAATTTACCAATTCTAAGTAGTGTAGGCATTATCAAGTTTTCTACAAATCATTTTGTAACAAGTTTACACATTTTTCCTTAAATTTGAATGGGATTGAACATGTTTGAACTAGACTTTCAAGAAAGAATACTTAACTGTTTGGGTTGAGGAATGAGAATTAAATTGGAATTTTTTTTTTCAGGAAGAGCAAGAGAAAACAAAAGGGACTGTCAAAGATTCAGACAGTGATTCCAATTCATCAGTCACATCCAAGCGGTAAATATTGATCTCTATTGGGTGGATTAAACTGTTTGTGAACTTGGTGATCAATTTAATTATTGATTCCCAGTTTTTTTAAGGGATTTTTTTTTAACTTTCCAAAACAATCATGTCAATTATTATTTAGAGGTAATTTGTTGTAAGATGTAACTAGTGTAAGTATTAGATTGTAAGTAAGATGTAACTAGTGTAAGTATTAGATTGTAAGTAAGATGTAAGTAGTGTAAGTATTAGATTGTAAGTATGATGTAACTAGTGTAAGAATTAGATTGTAAGTAAGATGTAACTAGTGTAAGAATTAGATTGTAAGTAAGATGTAACTAGTGTAAGAATTAGATTGTAAGTAAGATGTAACTAAGACTTAGATTGTAAGTAAAATGTCTCCTGTCAACAGGAAAAGGTGTAAGACCATCAAGTTTGGGACCAACGTGGACCTGTCTGATGAGAAGAAATGGCGGACACAGCTGCATGAACTCACCAAACTGCCATCCTTCTGTCGTGTGGTGTCTGGCAACAACATGCTCAGCCACGTCGGGCACACCATCCTGGGCATGAACACAGTGCAGCTGTACATGAAGGTGCCCGGCTCCAGGACCCCTGGTCAGTTGATGTCCAGTCTGTTTTACCACTAGTTACCACATCCTACTTGATCACTGATTACCATATAACACTGTCCATGGCATATTATTTTTAAAGTAATGTTAGGTCAAAAAAGTTTCTGAGTTCAGTCTCTGTATAAATAAAAATCTTGAAATTAAATTAATCTGAAATTATATAACATTCTAACAAAATTCAACTTTTAAAATCCTGGTTATAATTTCTAGATATTGTTCTCTATTAAATACAATTAAGACTATACACAAAATGTATGTCTTACACGAATAATTAACCAGTACCTGTACACATTTGTAAATCAATTTAACTTTTGACCTGCTGTTACATGTTACCCTATGTTTCAACTTGTTTGTCTCTTGTGTGTCAGGTCACCAAGAAAATAACAACTTTTGTTCTGTGAACATCAACATTGGGCCTGGTGACTGCGAGTGGTTCTCTGTGCCTGAACAATACTGGGGGGTTATACAGGAAATGTGTGAGAGGTGAGTTCAGGTGGTGGTGTACGGGGGGGGGGGAGGGGGGGTTATACAGGAAATGTGTGAAAGGTGAGTTCAGGTGGTGATGGTGTAGGGGGGGGTATACAGGAAATGTGTGAAAGGTAAGTTCAGGTGGTGGTGGTGTAGGGGGGGAAGGGGGGGGGTCATACAGGAAATGTGTGAAAGGTGAGTTCAGGTGGTGGTGGTGTAGGGGGGGAAGGGGGGGGGGTATACAGGAAATGTGTGAAAGGTAAGTTCATGTGATGGTGGTGTAAGGAGGCGGGGCGCAGGTGGTGGTGTATTGTGGTGTACGGGGGGAGGGGGGGTTATACAGGAAATATGTGAAAGGTGAGTCCTGTTTACTGCAAGTACTACAGACATCTCCCGCATTGGTGTTGGTTGTAGTCTGATTAGTAATGTAGGTTATACTGGGTGCTTGAAAGGTGGGCCAAGCTAAAATTTGTAGTTTAAAAAATGTTAGCTGATGAGTGTAGTATGTCTTCTATATGTATCCTACCTTGTTTTGTCTGTAGGAATAATGTCAACTACCTCCATGGCTCCTGGTGGCCAATCCTGGAAGACCTGTATGAAGAAGACGTACCTGTCTACAGGTTCATCCAAAAACCTGGAGATCTGGTGTGGATAGGACCAGGGACTGTACACTGGGTGCAAGCCATTGTAAGTGCTGTCATATTTCCTTAATGTGTCCATTAGCTTTCTGATAGGCTTAGAAATGTTTTTAGTTTCCTTTTTACATTTGGCAACAAACAAAACCCAATAGTTTACATCAGTGTATAAGAATAGCCAAATCTATTCTACAGCATCTTTGATTTATATTTTTCTAATAACTGAATAGTTCTGTGTGTATATTGTCTCCCAATATATAAACTTTGTTATTCCATTGGGGTTAAAAAGTTTTTTTAATTAATACTGTCACCCCCCCCCTCCCTGTGAGTTGAGTCCCCTACACTCCAATGTTTGAGCATGATTCCAGTGGGTTAATAAGTTTGTTGTCTACAGGGCTGGTGCAATAACATAGCCTGGAACGTGGGGCCCCTGACCTACCGCCAGTACACCCTGGGGGTGGAGCGCTATGAGTACAACAAGCTGCAGAGCTACAAGTCCATTGTCCCTATGATCACACTCTCATGGAACCTTGCTCAGAATGTTGGCTTCTCAGATCCTAAGCTATACAACGCCATTAAGTGAGTTCACTACTGATTAATTACTTATTGAAATCTTAGAGTTGTGAAATTTAGAATTATTTCTATTCATACCTTGTAACTCTGTACCACCCACTTTTCAGGACAACGCTCATGCGCTCATTACGGCAAGTCCGCATGACTTTAGATATTGTGGATCAGTTAAAGAAGGAAGTGAAGTGGCACGGACGGACATCAGATGAACCTGCCCATTATTGTGAAGAATGCGAGGTAAATGTCTTTGTCTTCAATCTTAAGAGTTGTAAGTTCAAACAAAGAGCTGACACTACAGAGGCTTAAGTAGTTCTCTACCATGTATATAGATTGTTCCATTAGCACTAAGTCTTACACCTGTTTTCCTGACTTGAATAACTCATATGAGCAAGTTGGACTATGTCCTACAGTACAGGGAACTGAATTCTAGATTTTTCATTCACTAATGCTCTGCTCTTCTCTTGCTTATTCCCCTTTGTATTTTGATATGTTTGTCATTCCAATATTATTTTATAGTGGATTTAAAACCAGCCATTTTATTCTTCTCTATTTAGGTCTTTGGTATATTTGTCATTCCAATATTTTTTATAGTGGATTTAACACCAGCCATTTTATTCTTCTCTATTTAGGTCTTTGGTATATTTGTCATTCCAATATTTTTTAGAGTGGATTTAACACCAGCCATTTTATTCTTCTCTATTTAGGTCTTTGGTATATTTGTCATTCCAATATTTTTTAGAGTGGATTTAACACCAGCCATTTTATTCTTCTCTATTTAGGTCTTTGGTATATTTGTCATTCCAATAATTTTTTAGAGTGGATTTAAAACCAGTCATTTTATTCTTCTCTATTTAGGTCTTTGGTATATTTGTCATTCCAATAATTTTTTAGAGTGGATTTAAAACCAGCCATTTTATTCTTCTCTATTTAGGTCTTTGGTATATTTGTCATTCCAATAATTTTTTAGAGTGGATTTAAAACCAGCCATTTTATTCTTCTCTATTTAGGTCTTTGGTATATTTGTCATTCCAATAATTTTTTAGAGTGGATTTAAAACCAGCCATTTTATTCTTCTCTATTTAGGTCTTTGGTATATTTGTCATTCCAATAATTTTTTAGAGTGGATTTAAAACCAGCCATTTTATTCTTCTCTATTTAGGTCTTTGGTATATTTGTCATTCCAATATTTTTTAGAGTGGATTTAACACCAGCCATTTTATTCTTCTCTATTTAGGTCTTTGGTATATTTGTCATTCCAATAATTTTTTAGAGTGGATTTAAAACCAGCCATTTTATTCTTCTCTATTTAGGTCTTTGGTATATTTGTCATTCCAATAATTTTTTAGAGTGGATTTAAAACCAGCCATTTTATTCTTCTCTATTTAGGTCTTTGGTATATTTGTCATTCCAATAATTTTTTAGAGTGGATTTAAAACCAGCCATTTTATTCTTCTCTATTTAGGTCTTTGGTATATTTGTCATTCCAATAATTTTTTAGAGTGGATTTAAAACCAGCCATTTTATTCTTCTCTATTTAGGTCTTTGGTATATTTGTCATTCCAATAATTTTTTAGAGTGGATTTAAAACCAGCCATTTTATTCTTCTCTATTTAGGTCTTTGGTATATTTGTCATTCCAATATTTTTTAGAGTGGATTTAACACCAGCCATTTTATTCTTCTCTATTTAGGTCTTTGGTATATTTGTCATTCCAATAATTTTTTAGAGTGGATTTAAAACCAGCCATTTTATTCTTCTCTATTTAGGTCTTTGGTATATTTGTCATTCCAATAATTTTTTAGAGTGGATTTAAAACCAGCCATTTTATTCTTCTCTATTTAGGTCTTTGGTATATTTGTCATTCCAATAATTTTTTAGAGTGGATTTAAAACCAGCCATTTTATTCTTCTCTATTTAGGTCTTTGGTATATTTGTCATTCCAATAATTTTTTAGAGTGGATTTAAAACCAGCCATTTTATTCTTCTCTATTTAGGTCTTTGGTATATTTGTCATTCCAATAATTTTTTAGAGTGGATTTAAAACCAGCCATTTTATTCTTCTCTATTTAGGTCTTTGGTATATTTGTCATTCCAATATTTTTTAGAGTGGATTTAACACCAGCCATTTTATTCTTCTCTATTTAGGTCTTTGGTATATTTGTCATTCCAATAATTTTTTAGAGTGGATTTAAAACCAGCCATTTTATTCTTCTCTATTTAGGTCTTTGGTATATTTGTCATTCCAATTATTTTTTATAGTGGATTTAAAACCAGCCATTTTATTCTTCTCTATTTAGGTTGAGGTGTTTAACATCCTGTTTGTCACAAAATGTGAGGGTCAGTTCCTGGTCCACTGTCAGGACTGTGCCCGTAAGGCTAGCCCTACCCTCAACAACTTTGTCGTCCTCAACCAGTATTCTAACGATGACCTCATACAAATCTATGACAGATTTAAAATACACACGGTGAGTGGCGTCCATTTTTTCTCTAGGGTACTTTAAGTAGTGATAAATTAAATGAATTTATATTTTAAATTATGTGTGTTGGAAATAGTTAAAAAAAAATTAAAGTAAGATTTTCTAAGTGTTGTAACATGGTTAAATGTTTAACTCTTAACAGGAGCCTGCAGACTCATCTAGTACTGAATCAAATGTATCACTTACTTGCCCCTTAGTTGTTACCCCCCTTACTCCCACCAAAGGAACACAATTAGAAACTGCTCAATCCCACCCTTTTCCTATGATTCCTTTAACTAAAGGCAGGATGGGTAAATCCAATACCAAGCATAGGTCTAAATAAACATTTCAAAAGGTATCTTTTTACAATGCCAATACTTCTGGCAGTACTAACAATCTAAAGAAAACATTTTCTCCTGCCAAGCAATTCTTCTGTAAAACATAACAAATTTTGTTCATCTCATTTCCTTTATTGTTCAGAGTTAACTAATTCAGTAACTTCTTAAAATAAACTTTAATGAAGCGAATAAGATGTATATGCCAGTTGTCCAAAAACTTAAAAATTGTTATACTTAAATAAAATAATCAGTTTGTCAAGTTTTTAACTTCGTCAGTTCCAAGTTTTTACTAACTTTTTTCACAAATGTATTCAAATGTTTCACGATACTTACACAGATAATAAATGAATATGAAACTTATATTGAGTGTTTCACAATACTTAGATAATAAATGAATATGAAACTAAAATTGAGTGTTGCACAATACTTAGACAGATAATAAATGAATATGAAACTTATATTGTTTCACAATACTTAGACAGATAATAAATGAATATGAAACTTACATTGAGTGTTTCACAATACTTAGACAGATAATAAATGAATATGAAACTTAATTTAGTGTTTCACAATACTTACACAGATAATAAATGAATATGAAACTTAAATTTAGTGTTTCACAATACTTACACAGATAATAAATGAATATGAAACTTAATTTAGTGTTTCACAATACTTACACAGATAATAAATGAATATGAAACTTAAATTTAGTGTTTCACAATACTTACACAGATAATAAATGAATATGAAACTTAATTTAGTGTTTCACAATACTTACACAGATAATAAATGAATTTAAAACTTAAATTTAGTGTTTCACAATACTTACACAGATAATAAATGAATATGAAACTTAATTTAGTGTTTCACAATACTTACACAGATAATAAATGAATATGAAACTTAATTTAGTGTTTCACAATACTTACACAGATAATAAATGAATTTAAAACTTAAATTTAGACTTTCTCTTTCAAGTCCAACTTTCTGTCCCTGCTTACCTTCCTAAAAGTATTATTTACAACTATTTTAATTCTGCATCCCTGTTTGTATCTCCATGTACCAAGCTTTTTTTCTAATTTTCATAGATGTTTACCTTTAATTTTTTTATCTGATTTATTATATCAGTTTGGTTAAGTTGTATGATTCAAAAACACTGTTCAATGATACTTTTAAAAAGAATTATATATTTGTTAAATTTGATGTTTTAAAACAAATTATGATTTGAAATTTTTCATTTCATCAGCCTCAACAAGGACACCAGCACTCTATTTTTGGGATGGGGATGTACAGTTGATCAGTGATGTCATCTAGGGGAGATCACTCAGGATATCATGCCAGTCACCAGCCCCCCCACCCTCTCATTTGATGCTGTATCATTTAGTTCACATTTGTCAAGTCAGCAGGTTACCTCCCTGCAGATCTTTTACTTGCTGACTCTTGCTTTGGTAAACCTCATCAGACATTTCTTAGCACAGGAATATACAGGGATGAGCTGTGGATTAGGAAAATCTGCATAACAGGCTATTTCTCAAATACACATTCAGATTATCAGTCAAATGTAATAAAGTCAAAATTCAAATGACCAGCCCTATGTAATGAAGTCAAAATTCAAATGACCAGCCCTATGTAATGAAGTCAAAAATCAAATGACCAGTCCAGTGCTTGCAAGCGCCACCCCCTGACATAATCCATCAAACTGAAGCTTTGAGCTGCAACAGTCTTTCAACTTTGTGTGACCAAATGTGAGCTTATCAACTCACCTGCTGTCCCATCGCAAGCCAAATTGTTTACACTTTGGTCTCATCTAATTTATAACTCACATCCATACGCATCATCAGCGTTTCATAGGTTTTTCTAATAAACCGCCATCTATATTTATACTTGCCCGATAATGCAACTACATAGACTAGCCAGGGATGTTGTCAAATGCTGAATATCTGGCAGCCATTGCTCATCTGTACACATCCATATGTTGTAACTGAGGTAACGTGTGTATGTTCATGGACAAATCTTCCAGTCGTGGATGACGTGAGACATGCCCTCATCATGGATAAGGACCAATACCACTGTGAGTGCCATTAGGATGTGCTGTGTGTCCGTGCTGTCTTAATGCTGGCGGGGAGGATATTCAACCGCTGCTGGAAATTTTAGCGACACCACCGTTGTCTTAACATTTTCAGGCCAGCAGAACTGGATATTTTCTGGTCAGTTTGACTAAAAAAAACAAGGATGTTAATAAACAAAATTCTACTGTCATTTCCATACACAATTTTAAGGACTTTTTCACTTCATTATTGTAATATTTTAACTTAATACAATTTGATTGCTGATTGTAATATTTATAAAACTTTTAAAAGTATAATTTTACTACATGAAAATTCCTATTTTACCTTAATTTTGTCTGTCCATTCTCTTTGCTCAAATAGAATAAATCTTGTGTTTGTTCCGTAGAATAAACTTTTTTATATTTTATTTTTAACATTTTTCACTTTTTGTATAACCTCACTCTTGTCACATTTTTAGTGTAAGCAAAGCAGCCATGCAGTAAATGAAATACCTGGCATTTTATTGGCTGATTAATATATAGTTTGTTGATGGCCATTTTGTACCTAATGATAAGGTTGCCCTAGCTCTTAGCTTTTATAATGGATAGAATTTGAGATGTGGGTTTGTGTGTACATTTGGATTTTAACAAACTTTTTAAAACTTTTTTTTTTAAATGAATGAGAATTCTACTTGATCAATATATTTGTTGCATTGTAGAATGATTGTGACCAATATTTCTTGCACTATAAATGGGTGATTTTCTTCTGCTACATGTCAATTTACAAGATGAATATACATAGTGTTGAATAATAAGGTCTGTCGACGCTAGTGAAAGAAATGGCTGTTTTTAGCTAGATGAGTTTTTACTGCAGTGGTCTTAACTTATAGACTTGACAAATGGCAAAGCATTTTTAATCTTCAGTGGCAGCAAATACCAACAAATCATCTGTATAGCTCAACCATCTTTTTTTTAAAGAACAAGTTTTGTTTTTATTTATTTCATGCTCATTCTTGTTTAGAGCAGAAGATTTGAATTGAGTTTAGAAGCTATAAATAGACTGAAGACCAAGCCAGTAGTATAAAGCAGAAGATTTGAATTGAGTTTAGAAGCTATAGACTAGAGACCTAGCCAAAAATGTGGAACAATATTCTATAGTTATTCTGTATGTAGGTTTCCTTACAAAAGATGATTGCATACAGTTATTACTTGACAAGCTAAGGTCCTTGATTTGATCTACTCATTACTCAACCTGCTAGGTACTGAAGTTGTCAGCCACCGCTCAGCATAGATAAATATTTTGTTGCTGTCTGTAGTTTTATCTTGAACAAAACATGAACTGTGTCTAAAGGCCAGCTTAACTTATTTAATAATTCAGATGTATTGCAGTTTATGTATAGTTTACACTGCAGCCTAGTATGAAATGGCATTCATATCCAGTTTATATATATTTACATAACATAGTACAATATACTCTAGCCATCATATTTTTATCTAACTTATTCTCTTTCCTGTAAATAGTAAACATATATTAAATAGATAATGAAATTATGTCAAAATTAACAGTATATCTGGGTTTTTAAATTTTGTTGCCTTTTTCTGATGTGTATTGAATGAATTTGTGTATATATGTAAAGTATACATTTCTCACCAAATCTAATCATAATTTATAGTAATTGACAGTAGGTGGTTTAATGACAATATGGCCATTTTATTTTTGTCTTTGATATAAAAGTTTTGTTAAAAATATTTGGGAACTTTAATTTTCATTTTTTTTCTGTATGTAATATAATTTTAAACTTTGTTGAAATTTTTTATTGAAAAGTCAATTTAGAGTGTAATTTGATAAGTTGGCCTATTGTGTATAATCCAGTACTTGTATACTGGGAAGCTGAACATGCTTTGATCTCATTATTTTATTGACGGTATAGTCTGTTTCAGCTTTAACTTAATTAGTTTGACTAGCTTGTCCAATCTTGAAAAATTAGTTGAACCTTTATTACTGGAGACATGTTCTCCAAACTCGCATATTTGTCCACATGTTTGACCCATGTCCTGTTCCACTGAGTGACATACAAAATAGAAGTGTTGATAGAGTTGTGTGTTGATACTATTGGAGTTGTCACAGGTGTGTTGATACTATTGGAGTTGTCACAGGTGTGTTGATACTATTGGAGTTGTCACAGGTGTGTTGATACTATTGCAGTTGTCACAGGTGTGTTGATACTATTGCAGTTGTCACAGGTGTGTTGATACTATTGGAGTTGTCACAGGGGCAAGTTGTTTGATGTAAAACTGTTGACTTTTCCCCCCGTTGATTTTGTTTTTGAATGTTGACAAGACGTGGGTAATTCATGAGATAGCTGTCATTGGTTCTCTCACTGTGGTAGCCAGTAGCAACCGTGCCACCAAGAAAACAAAATGGTGGCGGTTTTTATACTGCTATTACCTGCCAGCTGTACAGACTTGTTTCCCTTGATTTGTTCCCTAGTTTAATTTCCCAACCAAATTTTTAATTTCCTCCCGTTTTACTGTTACTGGCCACCACTGAAGCGGAGATCGTCATTGGTCCATGACCTTTGAACCGGTGAACTCTGCTCTGTTGACATCCTCTAGCTCTAAGGGAGGTAAGTTTTGTTCATCAGCCCCCGCCGTGTTTTCTGTTAGGTATTTGTTCAACTGGTTCCTACCACTGTGTCCTTGAATAGAGCAGTCGTACATGCTTGTGAATGGAGAGGTGGCCACTTTTAAATATTTGATGTACAGCCATACACGGGAGAGATTGTAGAAAACTGACCAGGACATTTGAAAGATTAAGTTAATTAAGCCTAATGAACTTACTGTTTGATTCCATTTAGCACCAGACAGAAATAAATTTTACAATGACGTATTTTTTTTAATCAAAAATACTTGAATGTCATTTTTCATTATCTGAAATACTTGTATGTCATTTTTCATTATCTGAATAGATTGAGAATGCCAGTTTTGATTATCTGAATGAATTTTTATTTTTTAAAAAATTATTTGTATGTTTTTTATGAGAAATACTGAACGACTATTTTAAAATGGATTTTAAAAGTTACTGAAAATCTTTAAGCAGAAAATTTTATATTTTTAGCTGAAAAAATGGTTTGGCTCGGGTTTTTTTTTTTTTACTTCTAGTTTGTTGCGTTACAGTAAATAAAAATATATTTCACTAACTTGTGAGTCATTCGTTTTTATTTGCTTACTTTGGGGAGTCAGATTTTTGTCTGAGTCAGTCTAAAGTAGTGTTGACTCCTTGTTTGAAAGATGGGCTATAACTGCCGAGGGTATTGGCCGTAGGACTTGCTGCACAGATCCGGATATTATTGGTGGATGTTTTATCCTGATCCACATCTGCTCAGGTCAACTTTGTAACATGGATGTGATTGATTTTGGACGGACAGAAAGCTGAAAAGTCTGTTCATTAAGGCAGTCGATTTTGGTGAGTTGGGTTCAATCATTTATCATAAACATAACCTATTTTTTAAGGGTTGGCATATGGTTAAACATGGATTGAAATCTACCCAGATCGTTAACAGTGTTGCTTCCAGACTTTTTTCTCCGGGGGGGGGGGGGGGCGGACACTGTTAAATGTATATATTTTCTATATAAATTCATAAATTCCATTTTGTTCGGGGGGGGGGGGAAAGCGGGTCTATGAACCTGTGCGCACCTACAGACATCAACGTGTATCGGTAGAAATGTGTACGAGATTCGATTGGCTGTACCCTAACCCCTACTTGTTGAATAACCGTCTTTGATCAGTTATCATCAACCGCCGCTGATTGACATTAAAGTCAATACAACCCCAGATAGTGGAAAATTAGTGGGAAAAAATCTTTGTCACAAACTTGACATTAGTAGCCATGTAGACATACACACAACGTTGTGGTGTGAGCATTAGTGTTATCTGTGTACACTGGTCAGGGTGTACAACGTTGTGTGTACAATGACCCGTATGTATTAAATGTGTACAAAATGTGTTGCTTAAAATCTGAGTAAAACATTCTTAAAAGTAGTATTTCTCCCCATTCTCCCCCCATCCCCCCCCCTTTGTTTCACACACTGACAGCACGCGGTTTTTGATGCATGCTTTGTTTTTAAATTTAAAAAAAAATTAAAGTAGACTTACATTATTTTTAAAACTTAAATATCAATTTACTAACAAAAAATTTAAATCCCAGACTAGATACTTTCTTACCCGATCCCGTACCCTGTCCATCTTAAAGTCCTAACCCCTCTCCCAGTGAGTGTGACGTTAATGTTGAGGCAGTATAAAGTAACAACTGCTGTCGACTTTTTGCATCTCCCATACACCACAGAAATTTAAAACGTCGTTCAATACCATAAACCATGGTCAGGGTGAGGGCGATATCGATTCAACTTCTCAAAACTTCAATCTCGTAACTCGTGTACTAAAAACCCCACTATAAAACGTCCGAGTGAGTTAATGGGTGTGAACTTCTCTTGATTTACGTCCCTTGTTGTAGCAATCTGCTGTATCTGTGTGTAATATTCTGATTGCGTGGATTATGTTCTTACAAGATGGATGTATACGTTCACTACTTTAGCGACCAAGTTCTGATCGCTCATTGATTCGTTTTTGAGTATCGGTGATAGTTTTTAATTTTTCACTTATGGGCTATATATAGAATGTGGGGCACGCTAAGTTGACATGAATCGGATTCTTCGTGTCGTCACCATGTCGAACTTGCCGCGTCTGATGGCCTTTCAGATTCTCGTCATTCTGTGCATCGCGGCGTACCTTTACAAGAGGGTGACGCCCAGCGTCGCCCTGACGTCATATTATGTGAACGGAAGTCGAGGCGCGGTGGACCACGGGTTCTGGAAACGGTTTGGGATCGAGTCTGAGTGTAGAAGGTTTATAAGAGCCGATGAGGGCGGGGTGGTGCTGGATGACGTGCAAGCCTATCGGTCAAACCTGCTCATCACGCACAAGTTCACGGAGCAGGAACTCGATGTAAGTAGCACGCATGCGCAGAGTGACGCAGGTGGGTTCCGCTAGACCACTGACTGATATTGGCTTTTGTTAGAAAGTACCGTTTAGCCTCATGAGACAATAGATTGTGTTCAGAAATTAAGTTGTTATTTTCTTTTGGTGCAGGCCAGTTTTAGAATGGCAATCTCTGCCACTGTTATTACAGATCATTGTTGTTGGCACACTTTGGGCAGAGATGTTCCTTCTTCTCTCTCGGCTTCCACGTGTTCATTTATGTCTGCTTGCTTCAGGTCTTGTTTGCAGACCTCTTTAAACTTTAGCAGTGATCTCCCTTGGGACTTGTACCATTGGTGAGATCCTCACAGAGGATGACTTTTGGGATTCAGCCATCTGGTATGCGGCAGACATAACCCAGCCAACAAAGTCTTCCCTGATGGACATTCTCTCAGCACTAAAGGAGATGTCGGTTGGAGACACGGACTTCCCATGGGACACCTAGGATGCGTCTTTGGTGTTCATTTAGCGTTCCTGGTGTGTGTACGTTGTCTAACACATAGAGCCACCATCCAACACTCCATCTTGTACTGTCTTCTGTCTCTACTTTCAGCTCCCCCCCCCTCCTACCCTTTCAGCCACCATCCAACACGCCCATTGCATTTCTTGGGTTAGTTCTCTGCGAGGGAGGGGGTGTGGCGGTGGCTTCTACTCTAAGACCAGTCTGGCTCTGTTGAATATCCATTCTTCGCGTGTGACAAATGCATTGGTATTTTCTTTCTAAGATTTGCCTTTTTATTGCTTTCTGTCCAGCGAGCCCCCACAGTTTTGTGTGTTCTATCTTGTCCTGTCAGAGTGTTTAAAATATATTCCTTAGACATTTGTTTAGAAATCTGGATTCTTTTTGTTGTTGCTGAAAAAAAAGTTTTGTAATAAAATCAATTCATTGCTCCCCAGACTCGGCCATTTCAATTAAACATAAACAAATCTGACGTCATCGTGGTTGTGCACATTCAGAAAACGGGGGGAACAGCTTTCGAGAACCATCTGGTGTTGGACACGATCGTCGACCCGCCGTGTAACTGTACCACCATGCCGGGTCAGATGAAAAGGTCAAGGTTGTCAAACTACTTTTTCTTAAGGGACAGTTAGTCCCCCCTTCTCTATTCCAACTGTCGTCATCAAAGGCCTGACACCCCTTCCCCTTAAATGACCCCATAATGTAGTTTTAGGGATTCTGTCTGCACCATGTAAAAAATGTGTAATTAATATTGTCATTACGACAAGTAACAAATTTAATGACAAAACAGTGTCTCCTCTATGGTTATGTAAATGCAGTGGGAGGAGCGGGAGTAACATCAAAGCAAAAAATATAAATATTATGGAGTGGGAATTGCCACTCTACTTGTGCTACTGGCCCCACCTTCCCTCCCCATAATTCTAAAGATAATAAACCTACACGAATGGTCTTCCTGTTAAGAATTCACTAGGTTGGGAACGGATCCTACACTACGAGACATATCCTGATTTTGGGAACTTGATAGTTCTGTTTAATCGAAATCTAGAAGGGAGGGGGGTGTTCTTTAAACGTGCAGTTTTAATTCACTCGTCATCAACGGCCAACGAAAGAAAAGGTATAACATGCTTACTTTGATTACCTTAAGTGGCTCATAGTTTCATCACAGAAGAAAGTCTACACCCCCCCCCCCCGCCAACGACATGGAATTTATATAGAAAACATACTTTTACGCCCTCAACCTCTCCTTAATTTAAAGTCCACCAGAATGGCCAGGGAGAATAAAACCATGAAAGTCACTACAATTGTTTTCCGGGATAAAATACACAATAGCGGGCAATGGGATGTAGCCTGGTAGTTTATTTATATTAAATAATATAACATCCCCTATCACCACAACACAATGACTCTACTGATCCAAATTAAAAATAAAGGTGTTTGGTAAATTACTATTATATTACTAGTAACCATTTGTTTGACTATTTCTATCCTTAATAAATCCGGAAGCCTTTTTGTACTTATTTCACAAACGTTATAAAATATTCAATTTTGGTTAAAAAAAATTCTATCTGGCAACCAAAATTTGGAACCATTTGGAACCAGCTTTTCAAGCCTATTAATATTATGTCTCAATAAGTTGAAGTATTTTGAGACATTCATTTTACTTAGTGTGTTATAAATCATGGTTCTAATTCTGCAAAAATAATTATTTTAAAATAGAACCTTTAGTCTCTGATTTTGATCGATTTTTACATGATCTAAATTCAAATTTTAGATTTTACATTATCTAAATTCAAATTTTAGATTTTTACATTATCTAAATTCAAATTTTAGATTTTTTACATTATCTAAATTCAAATTTTAGATTTTTACATGATCTAAATTCAAATGTTCGATTTTTACATGATCTAAATTCAAATGTTAGATTTTTACATTATCTAAATTCAAATTTTAGATTTTTACCTTCAGATGATAAATGTACAAGGTGTCTCCTATTTTGAATGAACTCTGAACTTGCGGGTCGTTTTAAGTCATGCTTTATATTTTTCAATACATGTCTGATAACTTGTTTACAACTGTAGGCCATCAAAGGGGGGGGGGGGGCACTTTGATATTTTCGGGGGGGGGGGGCGTCAACATTTTCCGGGGGGGGGGGGGCGGACAATAGTAAAAATATATGTTTACTATATAAATTCCATCTCGTTCGGGGGTGGGGGCGGCGTTAGACTTTCTTCGGGGGGGGGGGGGGGGGGGAGGGGGGCCTCTGCACCCCCCCCCCCCCCGCCCACAAAGAGATGCCTGGAAGAAACTCTGCAAGTGATGTGTTATTTGTTAGATAACTAAATGTGTGTTGGCAGGCTACTGTATGTGTGTTGGCAGGCTGCTGTAAGTATAATGTGTGTTGGCAGGCTGCTGTAAGTATAATGTGTGTTGGCAGGCTACTGTAAGTATAATGTGTGTTGGCAGGCTACTGTAAGTATAATGTGTGTTGGCAGGCTACTGTAAGTATAATGTGTGTTGGCAGGCTGCTGTAATTATAATGTGTGTTGGCAGGCTGTTGTAAGTATAATGTGTGTTGGAAGGCTACTGTAAGTATAATGTGTGTTGGCAGGCTGCTGTAAGTATAATGTGTGTTGGCAGGCTACTGTAAGTATAATGTGTGTTGGCAGGCTACTGTAAGTATAATGTGTGTTGGCAGGCTACTGTAAGTATAATGTGTGTTGGCAGGCTGCTGTAAGTATAATGTGTGTTGGCAGGCTGTTGTAAGTATAATGTGTGTTGGCAGGCTGCTGTAAGTATAATGTGTGTTGGCAGGCTACTGTGTACCTGTGTCAACGACAAAGGTCAGGACTGGATGTTCAACCGGCACACAACCGGCTGGACGTGTGGGGTTCACTCCGATCTGACGGAGACCGGCGCGTGTGTGGACCTCTGGTTCGGTAGCCAGGTCAGAGAGAACAGGACACGGAGGTGAGAGGTCACAGGTGGGCTAAGGTGTGGGTCACAGGTGGGGTAAGGTGTGGGTCACAGGTGGGGGTCACAGGTGGGCTGAGGTGTGGGTCACAGGTGGGCTAAGATGGGGGTCACAGGTGGGGGTCACAGGTGGGCTAAGATGTGGTTCACAGGTGGGCTAAGGTGTGAGTCACAGGTGGGCTGAGGTGTGGGTCACAGGTGGGCTAAGGTGTGGTTCACAGGTGGGTCTAAGGTGTGGTTCACAGGTGGGCTAAGGTGTGGTTCACAGGTGGGTCTAAGGTGTGGTTCACAGGTGGGCTAAGGTGTGGGTCACAGGTGGGCTAATGTGTGGGTCACAGGTGGGCTAAGGTGTGGGTCACAGGTGGGCTAAGGTGTGGTCACAGGTGGGCTAAGGTGGGGCAAGATGTGGGTCACAGGTGGGCTAAGGTGTGGTTCACAGGTGGGTCTAAGGTGTGGTTCACAGGTGGGCTAAGGTGTGGGTCACAGGTGGGCTAAGGTGTGGGTCACAGGTGGGTCTAAGGTGTGGGTCACAGGTGGGCTAGGTGTGGGTCACAGGTGGGCTAAGGTGTGGGTCACAGGTAGGCTAAGGTGTGGGTCTAATAAATATCTTTAATATCACGTTAAACTTGACAAGGTTGTGTGTGTGTGTGTACTCTCCAGATACCATTACGTCACCATGTTACGTGACCCTGTGACCCGATTCATCAGTGAGTGGCTGCACGTGCGTAGGGGCGCCACCTGGAAGGAGGCTCGACTCAGCTGTAATGGGAGAGATGCCACCCTCAAGGAAGTTCCGTTTTGTTTCAAGTATGGCACCTGGGTCAACGTGTCTTTGTCGGAATTCATGAACTGTTCGTAAGTAGAGTTTTGTAAACAAACATTTGGGCCCATTGATCTGTAGTTTAAGTAGATTTGTATATAAAAAAAAACATAGATCCCAATGCAGGACCGGATTTAGACTAGTGCCAACCATTGTTTCTTCCAGACTTTTCTTTTTCTCCGGGGGGGGGGGGGGGGGCACTTGAAATTTTCGGGGGGGGGGGACGACGACACTGGTAAAAGTATATGTTTTCTATATAAATTCCATTTCGTTCGGGGGGGGGGGGGGTGCCTGGAAGAAACTCTGCATAGAACAACTAAAAAATCAAATCATTGCTTGTCATGACTCTCTAGTTTCTCACTTCAGGAGTAACATGGCGTTTAACCGAATGACCCGGATGTTGTCCAACTTGAGTTTGGTCGACTGCTACAGACTGGATTCTAAATTGTCGCAAGAAGAGAGAAATGAGATTATGTTGCAGGTAGGTAACTCTTCGAGAATTTGTTAAGGTAGACAACTCCAAAATATTGAGTCATGGGCCAGGCTAGTAGTCAACTTTTGGAATGGAAGTGCAAAAATAAAAGATAAAAAGTAAATTTTAAAAAGTAGACCTGTTAAAATTTCGGCGTGAGATTTATTTTAATATTCCCAATTTTTAGTAAAATATTTCACGTAACATTCATATTCATCGACCAAACAAAGACCTACACCTAGTTAAATCATATAGGAACATCAGAATTTATTGTTTATACTTACAACTTAGGGCTAAACGACTACACGGTTGGCCTACGGATCTGAACTAAAATTTCGACACTTCTGCTTCAACCATATTATAAGGGTTAGGTAAAATAACTCTTATGTGTGAGGTATCAGCGAGACAGTGGTGTCATGCTTTATTGTTGATCTAATGTCTAATACAATTCAATGTCGACAAAATGGTGGATTTTTAATATCCGATTAGGGTTAAGCTAAGCAAAGAAACTGGATGTCAAAAGCTATGAAAACTTAAGTGAAATATTCAACTTTTTTTTTCTTTTGAAATATAGAGCGCCAAGGATAATTTGACAAAATTCTTCAAATTTTTTGGATTGGTCGAATACCAAGAGGAGGGACAACTCTTGCTAGAGAAAACCATTTTGGGGTTGAAGTTCAAAAACCAGATCACAAGCAAGAAATCGTCAATAGCTACTAACTACGCTATGCTTTCTGAGCACCATTGGAGCACCATTGTACAAAAAAATCTGTTAGATGTGCGGTTGTATCAGTTCGCTAAAGATCTTTTTTTACAGAGATTAAAAAAGTATGATATTAAAATAAACCCTCGTCAAAACGAGGCTTTGCGAGTAGAGCGAGGTTTTACTTATACAACAATAGGTGCATGAATGATAATTGTTACTAAAATTAAATTTGAGGTTCATTTATAAGAATATGATTGATAGATGAATGCAAAAGTAAGTGAATATGATTTAATTAAAATGGATAACAACACAGTTACCAGTTGGATTTATTTAGGCTACTCGTTTTTTTTTATGTATGTCTTTATCCCAAATCACAATTTGTTTAAATTGTAGTGATATTTGTTGAAACGTTATTGAAAAACGTACCTAGCCAACCTTAAGGTTAAACATCTGTCAAACCTGTAGGCGGTGTCAAGGGGGATGTCTGGGAGCCAAAAGCAGAGGCGTCACAAGGTAGGGTGTCAGCTGATGTGGTAGCTGATATTACCCCCCCCCCCCCCCATTAATGGTTCTACAAGTCTCTACATTCGAATTTCTCAACGTGAGGTAGGTTGTACTTTTCTGACGTCTCAGGGTGACCTTTGTAACGACCAGTTGGATGGTGAGTCAGCGTGATGTCATTTAAGGTCAGACACAGACTCACGTTACAGGTAACCTATTCGTGTCTATCTAGTCAGTCTGCTTACCTGTCCCAAAACTACTTACTGTGTAATGGGTCTAACGAAATAATTGTAAAATCTTTGCTAGAGTCAAAAGTGAAACATATAAATCTATTATTTAAATAAGCACCTTTCACAGCTCTCTAACAACTCAAAAAGTTAAAATTAAAAAACGAGAAATGTTTTAATGAATCAAACATTTATTATCAAACAAATTTATATTGAAAGGCATTTTTTTTTCCAAAAAACTTGAAACAACTTTTAAACATCCATAATTAGATAATCATCAATTATAGATAATCGTCCTGAATAAATGAACAATCCAAGTGAACAAATTGGATGAACACTCAATAATGGGATACAAATCTCTAGCAAACAAATCAACATAAACCTCGGCAGAAATTGTACTACAAGTAAACTATCAAAACAAAATAGGCATCTACATTAAGATTATAATGAACAAAGATGGCATTGAATATCAATTTAATATTTCGAGAATAAACTATAACCATGTAGTGATGGCTATGTCTGTTAAGATATTTTGTTAAGAAATAGAACATTTATTCATCATAGAGGATCAATTTGCTAACGTTTTTCTGTGCACCCTTAAAATGTTTACCATTTCTTCACACACCTGACACCTAATCTAATACTAGCAACTTTGTGACACAACACAAAAGCAAAGAGAAAAAAAAGGAAAAAAAAAACACTAAAAAATTTCACTACAAAAACTTTTTCTGCTTAAAAACTATAAATCCCAGGAAAACAATAATTAAAAATAAAAACAATTTATGATGAAAATGATGGGTGATGAAAACAATGATGGGTGATGAAAACAATGATGGGTGATGAAAGCAATGATGGGAGATGAAAACAATGATGGGAGATGAAAGCAATGATTCCAATTGTACTGTAAATTGATGTAAGATGAAAATACAAAGAAAATGATTTAATAAGACATTAAAGTTGGAACATTTTAAAATACCCCTAATAAATTAGCTTATTGGCAACCTCTCACACAACATTTTTTGAAAACATAGGACACATGTAGGCTTTAGATAACTTAGAACATTTTGACAGGCACGGAAAGTTGGTCCACAGGCAAATACAGGAAGACTAAAAAATTTAGAAAAATATTTTTACTAAACTAAAATCAATTGAATTTTGTTCTAAAATTTGGTTTTGAAATTTTTAAGTAAAATCTTACTGAAACTGATAGTTTTAAAATTGAGCAACAGTAAACATAGCCTACACCACACAACAAGATTACATCGGATATCCAAATATTTCATGTAGTACAGTGCCTGTGAACCCTCCATTCGTGAATATTTGTCTTAAATATTGCTTCAACTAACAACGTAGCCAAAACAAGCACATCCCAGCTTTGTTATTCTAAATCAAACAATGAGCTAGTTCAGCTTGCAACAATCTTCAGAGATGAACAAAGAAATCAAGAATTAAGCACCTCAATGCCAACATAAATAACATAATCACCATACAAAAAGTGGAACATACCATAATAACAAAAAGTGGGTGCTCAGAAATCACAGAAAATGCCTGTATAAATAAACATCCAAATTACTAGCCACGTAAGCGGTGTTGTCCAGCCAAAAATATAAAACATTCTTGTATTGCAGGATTTTAAAAGTACTAAATTTAGCACTACTACATAATATTTCATATCAATTACATACAAGGATGATAAATGATAAGCAACAGACTATACAACACTATAACAATGTTACACATGACATAAATTAAAGCATAAATATTGCCTGTAACATTTGAATATAACTTATATATGCTATACGAAATGATACCCATAACATACCATTTAGAAAAGACATAACCTTCAACATACTATTTTCTGTAACATACTGTACTTAAACGTTATGTTAAACATACAAATATTTTCTGTAACATACAGTGTTTAGATGTTACCAGTAACAAATGTATATGAACAATAACTTAACAAACTGAATGAACAAAATTCTAAAACACAACTTTTGACAACCATTATTAACTTACACAGGATTTCAATGGTAGATACAGCTCAATTTTAAAATTGCACATTAAGCCAATCATTGGCTGATTAAATTACTAGAAATGCAGCTAAAAACAGAACCTTTTATCTTCGGCCAATGCAGGTCATCAAAATGCAAAATAAAAGGTTTAATCAGAATAAACCAATAAAAAAATTAAAAACATAAAAGACGTTTTATTCTCGTGTAATATTTTTTTCAAAAATAGACTTAGAGTTAAGTTAGAGGCTAGTAAATGCAGAAATTAAAAAAGTAAATAATTCAAACATTTTTTTAAAGTAAATAAATGCCAATCTAAGTTTATGTGATTTGTGTGTAATGAACATTTGATAAAAATATAAGTACTAGGTTTTAACCAGAGGAAGTCGCACATTAGTTTAGATAACATTTTTTATACTGCTATGTATAATTGTGTCATTGAGCCTAGGATACATTTCATTGAGGGACTCATAAAAATATTTTATTGGATACACAGTCCTAGCCTATACATTATTTACAATTTTTATGCCATACATAGTTCTAACCTAATACATGTTTCAGTATTTCATGCAACAGAAATGATTAACCATGTCTGGATGTGGTGCAGTACTCATTTTTTTTCTCACACTAGAGAATATACAATGGGACAGTGTGGATAAATGGTAGAGGCTGCTAGCCCAGGCTCAAATATGGGTCTTGGCTCAGACTTGTGAATGGACATCCCTGAGTCCACCCAGCTCTAATGGGTACCTGACTTACACAAGGGAAACAAAAGGCTGTTGGGCATAGTGCTGACCATGTGAATGTAACATCTCTGAGTCCACCCAGCTCTAATGGGTACCTGACTTACACAAGTGAAACAAAGGCGGCTGGGCATAGTGCTGACCATGTTATCCCCTTGCATGTCGAGGTCATTGAAACAGATTAACTCTACATCCTCTGCCCCATGTCTTGGAGCATGAACAAGAAAAGATAACAGAATACATTATCTCAGAGACACAGACATTTCTGTATAAATAAAGCTTTAATGGGAAAAAACAAGGCTGAAGCAAATGGGATAACATAAAAACAAGAAATTATTTCAATTACTTATTGCACTAATGAAATAAATATTTTTTTCTAAATAAATTTGGGAAATGCATAAGTTTAGTCTAGACAAACAGTTTCTAAACTAATTGTCACTATGTCTCATTTAAAATAACCCAAAAAACTTAGCATCTTTCAACTCATGTATTTTTAAAAATGTTTAAGTTACTAAAACCTTTACACTAGAACAAATTAGACTAAATATTTTGTATTTATTTAAACTGTTGTTAGGAAACTGCTGATCTAGACTTTTAAAAAATGTAATTAGGATTGCACTAGATATTTTGTTGAAATATTGATCTAGTCAAGAGTAAAATGTATTTGTTGACAAGAGACATTTCATGTGATGTAAAGGGGAGAATACTGTAAACTTCATCTCAAGGGAGGTAAGTGATGGAGCAATTTAAATGGCAAAGGGAGGCTATCTTGATATTGAACAAATCAACTATACATGAGTATACCCAGGATAGCTAAAAACAACAACAAATGTTTTATAATATTAGACATTATATAATGATATAATGGATGTTAACAGCAAATATCTGTATATTAAAAATACAAACTACGACACTTCTGCTAATCTTATAGTAGGAAATTTATTTTCTGGAACTTGAAATTATTACTTAGGCTAAATACTAATACAATTCAGCCTTTTTATAATTTAAACATGATCCAAAACGTTATAGCTTGTTAACACATCAGAAATGAACCTAAATTTTCAACACATTACCAAATTACCCCAGTTGCAAGATCATAATAACCTATAAAAAATATAAAATTTAGAATGTGGTAATTTACAGATATTTTTTATATAAACTGAAAAAATGTATACAACAATTGATTGAATGGCTCACTGATTTAGTAAAAACAAATTAGCCAGTGATCAATACACAAGAAAATCAAATGTCACTGTAACAAATACTTTAACAAACCGTAAAACCTTTTCTCTGAAATTGTAACTTTAATAAATAAACAAAATGATGTATAAGCCAATTATAAAGTGCTAACTTCAAAGTTAATTTAATAAATAAACATATTGTGAAGCAACAAAATATATAAGCAACGCCATTAAAATTGCTTAGCTAATACAATCAATGTGCAACAATAAATACTGATTCAACACAACAGAATGTCTGTGCAGTGAAATCTCAACGAGTTGTGGTTTGAAGCAACATTAGGTTTATTCATTTTGGAGACTTTACATTTCAAACATGGCATTTTCTCTGGAGTAGAAATATTGACAAAACTTTTTTTTGTTTGATGTTTACAGTCTCTAAAATTTAATTTAAAAAGTTGAGTGTAAATGATTGTATATATTTAGTGCATATCAAAGAACATTTTCTGCTATAGATTTTATGTGTAAGTTAAGAATGTGATGTAATTTTTTCTCTGAACTGAGCAACATTTTATAAGTTTGTTGATCAACAAATTACTGTCCATAGATACCAGAAAAATGATCCAAGAGACAGCAAATCAACAGACCAACTGATCAATTGAGCTAAAGAATTCATGTCATGATTCAACTGTACAATAAGTTACAATGTTTTTATCTTTCTAGAATTACACCTGATTGCTGCTTGTCATCAGCAGATACTTTGGTGTGACTAGATAAAGCAACTGGGGTCTTGCTGGAGCTGGGAGGCCGTAGTGAAATGTTAATCTGTAGACAATGTGAGCATCTAAACCCTTACTGTATCAACATGTGTGTTTGAGCAGCCACATTGCCTGGGTGTAAAAAATATTTCTAAATCGTTTTTAAACCATTGCTTTAATTACACTTCTACACTGAGTGAAAAGTGGTAGCAATGTGACAATATCTTTTTTTAAAATGGTGCTTACTCTTGCCTTAATATAAAAACAAAATTTTTTAAAGCATAAGTGTTAATCAATGTTTGAGACATTTTGTGAAATAATAAATTTAAAAAAAAGCTAATTTTGGATCAATGCAAGTGTCCAACAGCCATTCCTCCCTTTTAAAATAAGTAATCAAATCAAAGAATATTTAAGTGCAATGGATTTTAGTCATAATAATGTTCACATACAAGAATTTAATTTACAACTAACCTCAGATAGACAGGAGCCATATTTAAGTATGAAGGAATGTTTCAACAAGTAGCAGAGTCAAAATTGTTTTGTGAATGAGAAAAGTTGAAGCTAATCTAGAAATATGTTGGGAATACCAGTTGCATTGCTTAGTATCAATTAATTAGACAGGTGTGATGTGTGCTGTGGTGCTATTAAAGGTGTGATAGGCAAATTATATTTCAATTAGACTACTGTAAAACACCTGCCAGTATCAATAACCAAGTACATTAATTATTACGACCACTGAATGCAAACATTGCACTAGGAATGTGACAGCCGCATGTGTTGGGAAGAGCTAGTGTGTTAAAAAAATGACATGGCATGTAAAAACATTTTAAACTGCACCAGGTAATATTGAGTGACACTCAGACAGATGGTGTAGTTCTCCTATAGATCAAATTTTAGTGCCCTACATCTCATTCTTTACCCTACGTCTCTACCATCAATAGCTTATCTATCACTACTTAAACTTAACTTCTGGGGCTCTGTGTTGTCTGCACTTTCTTTCTCAACTGCCCTTTTCCTGGTGGAGGAGCTGTCTTTTCTAGATGGGTCTTTTCTAGTTGAGTCTTTTCTAGATGGTTCTTTTCTGGGTGGTTCATCAACAATCTTCCCATTAACGATGTGCATGACGGAGCCAGGGCTATCCTCACATTGGCTGTTGCTGCTGTAGTTATAGAGCCGACAGTCATCATCATAGCCAGGGCAGCAGCTGCCAGAACATTTGCAGGAATAGGAATTCTTGCGAGGGAAGCTGCCAGAACACTTGCAGGAATAGGAATTCTTGCGAGGGAAGCTACAGGTGGACACCCGTGCCCCGCTGCGCCGCCTGGCAGTGCTGTGGGTGCCTGCGAAGCCGCTGTCCTCGGTGCTGTCCCCTGTGTCCAGGTTTGTCTCCTCCGTGCTGACGTTGGAAGAACAGCAATAGTTGGAGTAGCAGGAACAGCGTGAGGTGTAGCAGGAACAGCCCGAGGTGCAGCAGAAAGCCTCACAGATCCCGGTGTCGTCGGGCGGGTTGTCTGAAGGTAGGATGTTGAAGGCTCTGGCCAGGACGACGAAGAGCTTACCTAATGTGGGGATAAGTAGAAACTGGTGGCAGATTGCAAATATCCGATAAAATTTACCATGGAAGGGGTCAGAGACTGCTGGACACAGCATGTTGTTCAGGTTGACCTGGGAGACCTACAGAAACAAAACAATGGGTTACAACACATGAGGGACTAAATCAATAAGATCTCACTGACAACCTGGCTAAATACTTAGTGGGGATGAGCATTTATTGTTTTAAAGCCAACAGCTGTAGACTTTTTAAATACAGACCTGCATCAGACCTACAATCAACAAAAGTAACGATTTTAAAGTGATCCTAGCTGTCTATTGATAATATGAAGTTAAGTATTGTTTGTCCACAACAAAAGCCATTAGAAAAAAATAGTGTTGTCAGCAGTTTACCAGATATTGCAGCCTTGATTCTCACTATAGCTGGATGTTCTCCATAGTTGGAGTTACTTTTTAACATTTGGGGCCAAATTAATAATGTCAAATACTAAAAACAGTATCTAAAATATTTTTATCTCATTGCTTATCTAAAGCATCTAACATCACACAAACATTGCTTGAGTTTTTATCTAGACAACTCCTTAAACAGGTACTTACATATGCTAAAAGCTGGAGAGGCAGGAAGTGATAGATAAATAGAAAGCCAAAAGCTACCATAGACCAAGTAAAATCTGTCAGCCTCTCTGGGATAAATGGATCTGTGGAGATGTAAAAAAAATCTAAGTATCATAACAAAAATTAATGAGCATATTCTAATAGTACAGCCATAACAAATAAAATGTATGTACATACCTCCATGTCTTAGCAAGTAGAAGGGTATAATCAGCATGAGAAAATGTTGGATAAAATAAACGACAGTCTCAAATGGAAGCTGCGGAAACAAGAGTAGAGTTAAACTACGCACAAGGATACAAGGGTAGAGTTAAACTACACACAAGGATACAAGGGTAGAGGTCAACTAAACTATGCACAAGGAAACAAGAGTAGAGTTCAACTAAACTATGCACTAGAAAACTACACACCACTGGCACTAGTCTAATAAATCAAGGGGAAAAGTATGCAATGCCTCAACACAGGACAAAAGCTAGGTCAAGCAGGAAGACATTATTGGTCAACCCCAACCATCCACAGTTTAATTTAGTTAACCAGTCACCACACAGTGGTTTGACTGGTCTATCAAAATGGTGCACCATAGAACCAGTACAAATAGTTAACCAGTCACCACACAGTGGTTTGACTGGTCTTGCAAGATGGTGCACCATAGAACCCAGTCACCACACAGTGGTTTGACAGTCATAAAAGTGGTGCACCATAGAACCAGTACAAATAGTTAACCAGTCACCACACAGTGGTTTGACTGGTCCTACAAGATGGTGCACCATAGAACCCAGTCACCACACAGTGGTTTGACAGTCATAAAAGTGGTGCACCATAGAACCAGTACAAATAGTTAACCAGTCACCACACAGTAAAATACAAGAACACCTATCAGTAAATTTGATAGAGAGTGGAAATTGTGGGGAATCTAGTTGTCTTTCACTAGCACGTTGCGCATTTCAAAATAGACAGAAAGTATTGACTGCATGTTATAGTTCATCAAGCTTCACTCATATTGCTAACACAAAATAAATATCCTACCAAAGGTCAAATCAATAAATTAATATCTTCATCTAAAGGTCACATAACATAAACCTGTGTGCCAAAGGTTAAATCAAGTACTATTATCATTTGTTTAAATTAAAAGGGCACTTATTTCTCTTCTTTCTTAGGTGATGCAGATATCAAGATTTTTTTTTTGCGCAAGAGTAGGTTGAGATTATAATTGCTAGAATAGATCAGCAACTTGGTTGCTAATAAGAGCAAACATAGTTTAATAAACAGCAATAATATAACACATCTTGATAGCTGGTATATAATTTAGCCAGACATATTAGTTAGTGAACGGGACAGTGTGGTTGAGTAGTAGAGCACTCAATTGTTGGGCTCCAGTTTGGATCTCAGTCTGGACTTGAGACCGCAGGATATTCTTGAGTACACTCAGCTCTAATGGGTACCTGGCTCAACATTTATGGAAAGTAAAGGCTGCTGGGCATAGTGCTGACCACACCACACCTTCACATGCCAAAGCAAAGCAACTCTACTTCATCTGCTCTATGTATCATTAGGTCTGAAAGGGGAACTTTCCTATTATTAGTAACAGACTTTTACCATAAGATTAGCTTGAAAGTAACCTAATCTGATTGCTTACAACAGCAACTTGATCAAGTTACTTCCAACATTAACCTATGAAGAAAGTAAAAAGCACTGACCAGCCTAGTGTTGATCACAGGAAAAAGGATGGCTATTGGTGCACCAGTCAACATATGCATGTGTAGTCTAAAAGCTGCCGTCACAATCCTGCTAGGAGGGGCAGCTAAGATAAATATCTGAAGGGAGAACACATACATTGCTTTACATTTATGATAGACACTTTCAATAAAAGTTTAAGTAAAAAATAAGTATAGGTAACAAGAACAAAGATATAAAACTTTGAATTTTATTGAACAAAAATGTATATTTCTACTTTACTAAGTAACAACTAGCGAACATCAGTTACATAACACATAACATAAATAGGTTGAAAATTTTATTAAACTTTGACCCTGGGTCATCTTCAGGTCCACCAATTCTAGATGAGCACACTATAAAACTGGGGGTTGGGCTGTATGGGGGTAGAATGGACAGTAGCCCCAACCTATTAGTTTAATTAGCCATCAATCCAAAACTAGGGGGTGGTTAGAGCCAGCAGTAAAAAATGTATCCTACTGTAGCTTTAAACACCAGCCAGCTCACATCAACCACACAACTTGTTTGTACTGGCCAATTAGGACTTTGGTACAAACAGATAACAACAAACACCTTCATTACACAGGTGTATTCAGGTGTAAAGTAACACCTGTCTGAAGATTCTAGGAATTATCTTTTACACCATGCAGATAACAATATACAGCCAGAAGTATCTGGTTACACATGACACACCTAACCAAGAGTATCTGGTTACACATAACACACCAAGAGTATATGGTTACACATGACACACCTAGCCAAGAGTATCTGGTTACACATGACACACCTAGCCAAGAGTATCTGGTTACACATGACACACCTAGAGTATCTGGTTACACATGACACACCTAGAGTATCTGGTTACACATGACACACCTAGAGTATCTGGTTACACATGACACACCTAGCCAAGAGTATCTGGTTACACATGACACACCTAGAGTATCTGGTTACACATGACACACCTAGCCAAGAGTATCTGGTTACACATGACACACCAAGAGTATCTGGTTACACATGACACACCTAGAGTATCTGGTTACACATGTCACACCTAGAGTATCTGGTTACACATGACACACCTAGCCAAGAGTATCTGGTTACACATGTCACACCTAGAGTATCTGGTTACACATGACACACCAAGAGTATCTGGTTACACATGACACACCTAGCCAAGAGTATCTGGTTACACATGACACACCTAGAGTATCTGGTTACACATGACACACCTAGCCAAGAGTATCTGGTTACACATGACACACCTAGAGTATCTGGTTACACATGACACACCTAATTAAGAGTATCTGGTTACACATGACACACCATGAGTATCTGGTTACACATGACACACCTAGAGTATCTGGTTACACATGACACACCTAGCCAAGAGTATCTGGTTACACATGACACACCTAGCCAAGAGTATCTGGTTACACATGACACACCTAGCCAAGAGTATCTGGTTACACATGACACACCTAGCCAAGAGTATCTGGTTACACATGACACACCTAGAGTATCTGGTTACACATGACACACCTAGCCAAGAGTATCTGGTTACACATGACACACCAAGAGTATCTGGTTACACATGACACACCTAGCCAAGAGTATCTGGTTACACATGACACACCTAGAGTATCTGGTTACACATGACACACCAAGAGTATCTGGTTACACATGACACACCTAGCCAAGAGTATCTGGTTACACATGACACACCTAGCCAAGAGTATCTGGTTACACATGACACACCTAGCCAAGAGTATCTGGTTACACATGACACACCTAGCCAAGAGTATCTGGTTACACATGACACACCAAGAGTATCTGGTTACACATGACACACCAAGAGTATCTGGTTACACATGACACACCTAGAGTATCTGGTTACACATGACACACCTAGCCAAGAGTATCTGGTTACACATGACACACCTAGAGTATCTGGTTACACATGACACACCTAGAGTATCTGGTTACACATGACACACCTAGCCAAGAGTATCTGGTTACACATGACACACCTAGAGTATCTGGTTACACATGACACACCTAGAGTATCTGGTTACACATGACACACCTAGAGTATCTGGTTACACATGACACACCTAGCCAAGAGTATCTGGTTACACATGACACACCAAGAGTATCTGGTTACACATGACACACCTAGCCAAGAGTATCTGGTTACACATGACACACTAAGAGTATCTGGTTACACATGACACACCAAGAGTATCTGTTTACACATGACACACCTCGCACTGCTGTTTGCGACAAGCTATTGTTTATTTGAGAACTTCAAAAACAATTTTATAAATACTTTTCTGATTTAACAAAATAAAACTAACCAAACTACAATCATCAAGGCAACATCTGAAACACAACAGCATAATTTTGCAGCAGTAATTCACTGTCTTTAAAAAATTTAATTGCTAAGTGTGGGCATAATCTCTGGAAACTGAGCTAGAGACAAGGGAGAGAATACAACAAGGGGAGGTAAGAGGGACCAACACCGTGTTTTCTAAATGTATAACAATTGAGTTCAACACAAATTTCCCTGACCCTAACAATATGCAGTGTAATATAATTAAAATTTAATGAGAGGGGCTGAGAATAACAGGAATGCTGTGTAATATCTAGATACATTTTTTTATTGACGTAAACACGGGCACTTTTAGACAAGCCCTAAACAAAAGGAAATCTTGAGAGAAATCTCGAGATCTCGTCTATGGCTGCTACACAATGACTGGTTTTCTTCTTGGACGAGTGGTTAAATAATTGAGTACCGGGACAAGACGCGAATTATCCCCACCCCCACCTTCTAGTCTATACCCCCCCCCCCCCCCAACACAGACATCGCCAGTACCTATATACTGAAAGAAAGCAAATGTCAGGGCGGGAGACGCACGGATCAACAAATACAATAGTGTCAACTTTTTAGTTAGTTACAACCACGCGGCGGGCAGTCAGAATATCAGAATGGTTTTTTTTTATTTTATTTCGGCAGGGGTGAAGCCGCGCAGCTACTGTACTTACTCTTGCAGTGCCGCAGTGTGTAGGCCCTACACAACACAACTTTGACCGCTACGAGTTGGCTGCACATAACATAACGTACAGTGTTTCTTCCAGACTTTTTTTTCCGGGGGGGGGGGCGGTAAACTTTCTTCGGGGGGGCGGACACTGTTAAAAGTATATATTTTCTATATAAATTATATAAATTTCATTTCGTTCGGGGGGGCGGTAAAAAATTTTCGGGGGGGCGAAGCCCCCCCGAAGAGATGCCTGGAAGAAACTCTGATAACGTAAAGGTATATAGATGATCTACACTAAAGTCTTACAACGTCGCCACTTGATATTTGCTGGCAAACTGCGGTTTTTGGTCCGTTACTTTTATTTTGACGGGCCCTTATCCTGAGTTGAACTTGTCTACCTCCCACCACATCCCTCCAAACGAAATAGAATTTATATAGGAAATTAATATATACTTTCAACAGTGAACCCCCCCCCCCCCAAAAAAAAAAAACCCTAAAGACATACAAGTGGTCCCATTAGCGCGCCCCAACACTGGCCGTAAGCATAGCGACGCCAGAAATCATGTAACTACCCAGAACAGTAGCGCCGACATAGAAACGACTGGAATCTTTCCAAAAATTGTCAGAGTATTCTTACACGCAACGTTTTACTAACACGTGTCGTTTAATTGAGCAAATACGGTAATAAAAAATATCATAGTTCATTGATTGAACACATGTAAAAACACAAAGAATCTTATTACCATAGTAATGTGGTGGCTAGTCACATATCTAATCAAAATACAGAAAGCCAATAATTAAAGTCTCCCCTTCACAGATCGTGTTCATAAGCATAGAGTTGACGAATAACTAATGTAAATTGCTATGGCTAGAGGGGGCGGTAGAACCTAACACAAATTGGAACATGTAATAAGGTTAGGTGTTCGCTTTACAACGGTCCAAAAACTTTTTTAACGTCGAGATCATTTTTACTGATATGATCGATAGCTCAACTAACTACAAAAGGTTGATTTTTGTGCACAAATGTTACAGCGTATAAGTCGTGCTAACTTCTTTATCAGTTGTCTACCACTAGCAACCTACGTTAACACACTCCCCTACACACAGAAGGGCGGCGATGTATGGGGTTGAGAGGAAGGACAATAAGTTGTACATTACACACACAAAGGATGCGATTTTTGGGGCTGAGAGGAAGGACAATAAGTTGTACATGACACACACAAAGGCTGCGATTTTTGGGGCTGAGAGGAAGGACAATAAGTTGTAATGTACATTGCCATGTCCCACAACTAACACCATCGGCCAATTCGTGTATTGACCTGTTGTTTGAATGGCGGGTCACGGGACATGAAACCAGCAACCTAACCATGTGTCCCATCACACGAACAACACCCAGTCTCATCACACGAACAAAACCATGTGTCCCACCACACGAACAACACCATGTGTCCCACCACACGAACAACACCCAGTCTCATCACACGAACAACACCCAGTCTCATCCCACGAACAACACCCAGTCCCATCATACGAACAACACCCAGTCCCATCATACGAACAACACCCAGTCTCATCACACGAACAACACCCAGTCTCATCACACGAACAATACCCAGTCTCATCACACGAACAACACCATGTGTCCCACCACACGAACAACACCATGTGTCCCACCACACGAACAACACCCAGTCTCATCACACGAACAACACCCAGTCTCATCACACGAACAACACCCAGTCTCATCACACGAACAACACCCAGTCTCATCACACGAACAACACCCAGTCCCATCACACGAACAACACCCAGTCTCATCACACAAACAACACCCAGTCTCATCACACGAACAACACCCAGTCCCATCACACGAACAACACCCAGTCTCATCATACGAACAACACCCAGCCCCATCACACGAACAACACCATGTGTCCCACCACACGAACAAAACCCAGTCTCATCACAAGAACAACGCCCAGTCCCATCACACGAACAACACCCAGTCTCATCAAACGAACAACACCCAGTCCCATCACACGAACAACACCATGTGTCCCATCACACGAACAACACCCAGTCTCATCACACGAACAACACCGAGTCTCATCACACGAACAACACAGTCTCATCACACGAACAACACCCAGTCTCATCCCACGAACAACACCCAGTCCCATCATACGAACAACACCCAGTCCCATCATACGAACAACACCCAGTCTCATCACACGAACAACACCCAGTCTCATCACACGAACAATACCCAGTCTCATCACACGAACAACACCATGTGTCCCACCACACGAACAACACCATGTGTCCCACCACACGAACAACACCCAGTCTCATCACACGAACAACACCCAGTCTCATCACACGAACAACACCCAGTCTCATCACACGAACAACACCCAGTCTCATCACACGAACAACACCCAGTCTCATCACACGAACAACACCCAGTCTCATCACATGAACAACACCCAGTCTCATCACACGAACAACACCCAGTCCCATCACACGAACAACACCCAGTCCCATCACACGAACAACACCCAGTCTCATCACACAAACAACACCCAGTCTCATCACACGAACAACACCCAGTCCCATCACACGAACAACACCCAGTCTCATCATACGAACAACACCCAGCCCCATCACACGAACAACACCATGTGTCCCACCACACGAACAAAACCCAGTCTCATCACAAGAACAACGCCCAGTCCCATCACACGAACAACACCCAGTCTCATCAAACGAACAACACCCAGTCCCATCACACGAACAACACCATGTGTCCCATCACACGAACAACACCCAGTCTCATCACACGAACAACACCGAGTCTCATCACACGAACAACACAGTCTCATCACACGAACAACACCATGTGTCCCATCACACGAACAACACCCAGTCTCATCACACGAACAACACCCAGTCCCATCACACGAACAACACCATGTGTCCCATCACACGAACAACACCCAGTCCCATCACAAGAACAACGCCCAGTCCCATCACACGAACAACACCCAGTCCCACCACACGAACAACACCCAGTCTCATCACACGAACAACACCCAGTCCCATCACACGAACACCATGTGTCCCACCACACGAACAACACCATGTGTCCCACCACACGAACAACACCATGTGTCCCACCACAAGAACAACACCATGTGTCCCACCACACGAACAACACCCAGTCTCATCACACAAACAACACCATGTGTCCCACCACACGAACAACACCCAGTCCCACCACACGAACAACACCATGTGTCCCATCACACGAACAACACCCAGTCCCATCACACGAACAACACCATGTGTCCCATCACACGAACAACACCCAGTCCCACCACACGAACAACACCCAGTCCCATCACACGAACAACACCCAGTCCCACCACACGAACAACACCCAGTCCCATCACACGAACAACACCCAGTCCCATCACACGAACAACACCATGTGTCCCACCACACGAACAACACCATGTGTCCCATCACACGAACAACACCCAGTCCCATCACACGAACAACACCCAGTCCCACCACACGAACAACACCATGTGTCCCACCACACGAACAACACCCAGTCCCATCACACGAACAACACCCAGTCCCACCACACGAACAACACCCAGTCCCACCACACGAACAACACCATGTGTCTCATCACACGAACAACACCATGTGTCCCACCACACGAACAACACCCAGTCCCATCACACGAACAAAACCCAGTCTCATCACACGAACAACACCATGTGTTCCATCACACGAACAACACCCAGTCCCATCATACGAACAACACCATGTGTCCCACCACACGAACAACACCCAGTCCCATCATACGAACACCATGTGTCCCACCACACGAACAACACCCAGTCTCATCCAAGTGGTTGACAGGACAACCCAAGCTCTTCCTGATAACAACCACTCTTTGAGTTGTAATCAACATTGGCAAGGTGAACACTGCAGTAGGAGATAGGGTCGGGTCAGAAAACTATCAGATTCTTATCAACATTACCAAAGATTACGTTACGGTTAGGGGTCGTTTATAAACAACGTCACACTCCTAGAGTGAAGAAGTCGAAATTTTGTGTGAAACATGGGGGGGGGTGTCGGAAAGCGTAATGAAACATTGACGAATGACATCATTTTAGAGGGGGGGGGGATCGTCTGAAAATCTGAAAGCGTTTATGGATGACCCTTGATTTGTGATTATATTTCACCAAAACTTCCCCGTCCACAACACCACACAAACCAACCATCACTGTGAAAGCTGATTTATCAAAATGTTTTCAACAATAATGAATTTAAACATGTGTTGAACCCTTTAACTTCACGGTCTTCCCATTAGTGAAATGTAGGTATAACCAAGCATTCACAAGCCTACTGTTGTTCACATTCAACGTCAACACAACTAGCGCTACAAATACAACAATCCCTATCCTATAGAACAACGCTTCTCATGGATGTGAAACAATGTATGTAGCCAATGCAGCCTATAGCTTAAACACAGGACGGATGAAACGTTAAGCAATATAAGCACCACCAGCATAGCAAGACAGAACCTCGCCTTGATTACCCAGGGAAAATTAAAAAGAGGCAGGACAAAAAATTATGTAACGCAAGAAGGGTGGGTAATTATCACAGGGGACTACGCTTGACTAGACCACCGATCACCCACAAGGCTAATGCTGGTGGTTTAACAAGAAAGTGTTGAATTACGTAGGTGACTATACGGTAGTGTTTACATTTTACCCAAATTGACGATTTATTGAAATAGTCGGAAGAAAAATCAGCTAAAATGAAATTTTAGAAATACCCTAATGCTTATCACTTGAGAATAAAACTATGTGGGGCTCTAAAAAGGAAGTTTGCCACAGGCGGTTTTAATAGAATTTCGTCTTCAAAACTAGCATGGAGGAAGTTGGCGATAAGATAGCTAACACTAACGTGGAGATAACTCCCACCTTGTACTTTAAAGGGAAGATATTTTAAAAACAAAACAAGAGCTGGTACAGGAAAAAATATCCCATACATTCTTGCCCAGCAATCAGATTGACATGTAGGGTTATGTCATGTGTATCGCTAAAGGTTTTTTTACTAGGGTAGAGGGGGTCATCCATAAATGACGTCACGCTTTTTGGACGATTTTTTACCTCCCCCTCCTCCGTCACACATCGTCACAAAAAACCAGACCACCACCCTAAAATGACGTCACACCTCAGCCTGCAATCCTCGTCCACTCAAAATTGCATTTGAATTTTTCTTTAAAAAAACAGCGATATTTTTCCCAAATCTTGTCTGAACTCGGTCAACATAGTGTTTTAATTAATTCCTATTACAATTTATTAAAACAGTTTTCTAAAACGCGGAATAACGGCTAAATTTTCTAGCATTGCTTTTTTATAATGCAAAAGTGTGACGTGACACCATCTGAACACCCCTCCTCCCCCTCATCACACACCGCCACAAAATTACCCCTTATGACCCTATGAGTTTGACCCCAGAGATACTAGAAAAAAAAGCTTAGATATATGGTTATGTAAAATAAACCCATAGAACTTTATAATGTTAATCCTTAACCAGACGAAGAAGTGACCACTCTAAGTATAAAAAAGTCATGATTGGGGCTGGGGTGGAGAAGGTAGGCGTAATGTGTGGTCAGTTGGTGGATGGGGAAACTGTGACTGGGAAGTGTGATACCTTTGTGGGGACATTTAGTACCTGTGAGGGTGGGTGACTAAATAACTGAGGTAAAGGGTAGGGGTTAGTTAAATGATTAGATGTGGTGGGGTGGTGTTCCCATAAAATGTGACAAATCATATGTTCTGAAACTACTGAAAGGGCCAAAAAAAGTAAATTTGTATTTCTTTAGAGGGGAAGGGAAGTGGAGCTTCTGTGATGTCAGTCTGTGTGCAGTTGTCTAATAACTGACTATCATGGTGGAGGGGACTGGAGAATATTCAAACTTTATCTCATTTAACTATAAATGGAGAACAAAATGCAACTGTTAAATAGTGGTGAAAACAACCATGTATAAAGTTATATTAGAAAATCTGGTCTGCTTATCCAGAAGTGAGAGGGAAAGTTGGTTTGTATTTTTTAAATATGCATGTTTTTTAAATTTATTTACATAGATTCTTTAAAAAAAAATATACAATTCATTATTTTGAAAGGATGATCATCTTTTAAAGTATATGTATGAAATTAGAGCCAGAACAATCAAAATAACATGTACATTGACAACATACAAGAAACTTAGAATTGTACAGAACATTTTACACAGCACTTGACCTACCTGTATCATGGTAGCAAGGTGGCAAGGGTTCCCTATCCAGATCATCTGGCGTGTAGCTAGCTTGAATCCTAGTTCAATTCCAAACGTCAAACACATCAGGAGCAGGAGAAGCCTTTTGCCCAGTGGCTCTGAATTCTTCCGATAGCCACAGGGGCATGGTCTGGGAAGACGCAGGCGCGGGTAGGCATAGAGGAGTGCAAGTACTGCAACAATGGAAGCCCCCACACTCTCCCAGCAGCGTTGAGAGATGCTTAGAAAATCACGACACTCAAGCCCACCGTTGCCTGGAAAGGATGGGTCTACGCCTTTGTATGCCCAGTCGAACCAGCCATCATTTTTCTGATGATCTGAGTGTGCCATGTCTTGGAATGATTGACATGGAGCAAGCTGGTCAACCCAGGCTTGAAACCAGACCTATCAATCGCTTTTTTAGACACAGACTGGCGAGTGACTGGATGGAAGAAATCTGCTGTTGGGGACAAAAAACAAAAACAATAATAAGCATACAAAGGTGTTGAGTAAAATAAATGCCATTTTAAAATCTTATCTGAGGAGCTATTAGAGGTCATGTGCCAAGATATTTTTAGTTTTACAAAGAAAAATAGGACTAGGTAATTGTAAAGGTTACTTCAGTATTCTTCACTATGAATGTATCAATTGTTTTTGTTTTCATTGTAACCCTGACTAAACTGTTCCCCTTATGGCAAGACTGGCAGAAAAACAGACATTGACAGGACACTGTATTACCCTACCAGAAGGAAAAAATAATTCAGTGTAGGCCTATTATTATTGTATGTGTAATGCGTCTAGTAGGCTATGACTAAATAGGTAAAGTTATTGTCTGATTTTTGTGTTTACAGCAATATAGCAGGTTAATCATGCTAGTGGCTAATAAGTGAAATTCCTTAATTATTATTATTTTAGTAAAATTTAGAGCTAATTAGTATTTTATTAAAACCTACATAGCTACAAACCTTAGCCAGTGGAAGTCCAAATCTAATTTTAAAAACTAACCTAAAACGTTTTTAATAGGCTTTATAATGTAGGTCTATTTGAAGAAAATTAAAATAGATTGGGCTAAAATTTAACAGGCCCTTTTTTATTTCGGTTAGGATTTTAGGTGGAAATCTATTTTTTTAAAGTACTATATTTAACTTACTGCAATAAACCCAACTATTGTTTGTCCAGTTACCAAGCCAGATACTACATGGGGAATTACTAAATATCATCCATCAATAAAAATAACTAGTAGTACAATTATTAGCTAATTTTAGTAAGGTCTAAATTAGTATACCTTTCACAATTAGATCTATTATTAATCTTATCCTATCCAGATCTTCTAGATCAGGATATTAAAAGAATTCTCAGCTGGGGATAAAGCACAATAAAAGGCACCTAGGGTTATTTGGCTTCTGCAGACAACTCTCATATATGACACTGGTTTGGGAATATTTTTCACATATTAATTGTTCAAAATACTAGCGTCAAAGGGGTCATCCATAAATGACGTCACACTCGTAGGGGGGAGGGGGGGTCCGTAATTTTGTGACGATGTGTGATGAGGGGGAGGGGGTCAGATGTTGCGACGTCACATTTTTGCATTATAAAAAAGCAATGTTAGAAAACGAATTTTAGACGTTATTTCGCGTTTTAGATAACTGTTCTAATAAATTGTAATAGTTTAGACAAGATTTTGGAAAAATATCGATGTTTTAAAAAATTCAACTGCAATTTTGAGGGGGGTTGTAGGTTGAGGTGTGACGTCATTTTAGGGGGGGGGTCTGGCTTTTTGTGACGACGTGTGACGGAGGGGAGGGGGGGAGGTAAAAATCGTCGAAAAAAGTGTGACGTCATTTATGGATGACCCCAAACTTAAAGTAATTTTGCATGTTTATTGTTGATTAGACAGCTGAGGATGGGAATTTCATAAATAAGTTTTTGTTGTCCAACAATACTTGTTGTGTCAAAAGGATAAATACAGATCTAAGCTGCAACTGTAAGCAAAAAGCAAGACATCTGTTGCCAGAACTATAATTTTAACATACTTTATTCTTCTTAGGGACAACAAAGCCACACCTGACACCACCATAAACTATTAAAACTTCAAATTACTTTGTAGGTAACATAGATTTCTGTTCTTAGATATAAGCCAAACAGAGATAGTGTATTCTGTCATTTATTACGATCGAGGTCAAACAGAAAAGAGATCTAAGAGGAATCAATCAATACCTCTATTCGCTCTTCAAAATATCTCACTTCCTTAAAACTTTTAGGCCTATATGATCACTAAAAAACATTTCTCACCTACGTAACACCAAGCTTTCCAAGGTGAAAGCAAAAAGGCAGATTAGTTAGCACCATCCTTTTTTTACATCCAAGACTTCTAATGCAGCTGTTTTCCCTTCTTATGATGGTAGGTGAGGTAATTTAAAGGGAAAATATTATAACAGGCCTACTATGTTTTCTATTTGAATTTCTATTTAATTTCAATTTTTTTTTGCTGGTCAGCTGCAATTTTTTATTTTCTCTTCTTTTATCCTGAATTCTTTAGGCCTATATCTAATTTTGTGGAATTAATATATTTTATTGTACAGTGTACGAGAATTTCAAAAGAACTGTTTTTTTTTTGTTTAGTGCCATTCTTTTTCAATCCTCCAAAAAGGTTTCCACGATATAGAAACTGAAACGTGGTATCTTGCTCTGGCGTAATTTATTTTAATGTTATGCTGTTGTATTAAATCTGAAATTGTCAGTGGACTGAATTGACAGAATCCTATAGCAAATCATAAGAGTCAGGTGAGTGTCTTGACCTCCTCCAAACCCTTGAGACTTACTCACTGGGGTTAGATCAAAACTAGGTTTTGAGCCACTGATCTAGCTAGATCTAGTGAGAGTAAGTAAAGTTCTCTTTCAAACCTGAAGGTCTATGGGGCAAGTAGAGTAGAGTTCACTTGTTTCTGTGACCTTTATTTTTATCAGATATAGTCTATATCTAGGCTCTAGGGACAGTAGTGATGAGTGGTGTCTGTCTATTGGCTAGTAAATCTAGAATAGATCTAGATCTCTAGATCTAAGTTCTAACAGGCAAGTAGGGTCCTAAAACTAAATGTCAGTAAAACTAAATGAGTTGACTTTTGAACTAATGAACTACACTCTACACTAATACTAATAGATTCTACTTGAACTTGTGTACTACACAAGTGAGTAGAGCTAGAATACCTACATTAATTATAATTAATTATTATTATACACACCATCTCTACTTCTCTAGCACTGGTTAATTTATTTTTAAATTTAATTATTTTATTAGGCCTAGCTAGATCTAGATCTAGGCCTAATTTTAATTTAATAATTTAGGAATTATTATTGACTAGGACTAGGACACTAGGTCCTAGTCTAAGTAATTAGTACTGTAGTAATTAGGATATGAATCTAGCAGCTAAAATCGAGGGACCTCGCCTCGAGGAAATTCTTAAAACAATGATGAAACTGAAATATAGAATATAAATCTACCAGATCTATGATCTACGTGTAGTCTACATACTTTCTTAAGTGACGTTTGATTCTCTGCCACCCTCTTCTCTGGTTCGTCACCATTCGATTCACTTAGCCAGGTTTTTCAAAATTATAACGTTATGAAATGGCAGTAGGAATTTGTGCGTCTATAGTTACTCATAAAAATAAGCGGTATCATTTTTTTTAAATCCCTGTGTAAAAAGATAATTAATTCGTAGGTCCTGTTCCTAAATTAGAGTGTATGTATCCTTATTGAATGTGGGCAATTTTTTTTTAAATTCTAGATCTTCCTATTAATTCCGAATGTTGTTAAAATACGACAAAGAGATAACTCAAATCATGGATTGTATGCCTAGTAATTAGTAAATTCTAAAAATTAGAAATTGCTTATTTTTCTTGAAATTTCAAACTAAAGATAGATTTTGGAAAATTTACCATAGACTAGATCTAGATCCTAGGCATTAATAAAATATAATGTACTGCCAACATCCATATTTCCCCATTATAAGTATTAAACAAAACATTTTATAGTAGCAAGTTTAAAATAGCCCTGTTCTCGTAATTCGCACCCTAGGGGTCCGTCTTCACACTCCACTAGAGGAGTAGATGGGTTTTGATGTTTGAAGGGGGAGATACATCATACGCGTAATCTCATTTAATGGATGACCCCCTAACTCCATTAGTGTCATGTGTCTCATATATTTTATTCCATATTTAAGCATATATATGCCATATATATATATATATATACATATATATATATATTATCTCTCGTATTATTATTTAATTTAGTAGTCTTCTAAATATATTTTAATGACAAATCTAATGTCTAATTAGAGCAAAAACAGATATTCTTGCATATAAACGTATATGAAAAGTTAATGGAAATAGCTGTATTAGAATTGGTCAAAGGCGGATTATAAGATTTGCCATAAACCATCTAACACAAATAAGCAAACATATAATATACTTGTGAACTAAATACAGGCTTATAAATATAAACACCATGATTTAATTACATGTCGAGCCATTGCTTTTTTTATTTTATTTTAAGGTTTGACTTAGCTCAAAATGTCTGTTGGTGGATTTTGTTGCAAATCTATATAATCGGCAATTCCATTTCAAACTGTCTAGACTAGATACATACATCTCCGATTACAATGCATGAATATTATCAAATTAAATGTTAAATTAATACTTAAAATCAATATACCGATTATTATATTTAATACTAAAGGGGAGATAACAAATCAAAATCTCAAGCGATTTCTATCAACCCAGTTACTCGAACTGATGTGTGACGTCATTTTAGGGGGTCTGGTTTTATGTGACGTGTGACGGAGGGGAGGGGGGGAGGTAAAAATCGTCAAAAAAGCTTGACGTCATTTATGGATGACCCCCTAAAACCCCCCCCCCCCCCTCAAAATTGCATTTGAATTGTTTTTTAAAACATCGATATTTTTCTAAAATCTTGTCCGAACTCTGTCAATTCCTATTACGATTTATTAAAACAGTTTTCTAAAGCGCGAAATAACGTCTAAAATTCGTTTTCTAACATTGCTTTTTTTATAATGCAAAAATGTGATTTCCCACCATCTGAACACAAAATTAGGGACCCCCAATCCCCCTACGAGTGTGACGTCATTTATGGACGACCCCTTATAAACAAAAGAAAGCAAAATTTATTTATATTATGTTTTGTTGTTGCTGTAATAGCAATTATTCAGGAATTAAATTTAATGTGATGACGGACACAGGACCCGACCCTCCCACCCAGCCAGGGATTTTTTCCCGGTAGATTGGCGGGTGAGTCCACCTCTGCTCCCAGTTAACAAAAGTGATTTATAGGAACCCTTCCACCGACATGTGGACGAGATTGAAGGGTTATCACATCTCTGCAAACAGGGCTATCTTATAGATTATAGATGTAGGGCTATCTTAATCTATATAAATGCCATTTGACTCAACCCTACATAAAAAACATGCTCTACCCCCCCCCCCCCCCCCGAAATGAGGCTTGGAAGAAACTCTGATTGATTGTAGGCCTGATTCGTTGGCCTGTTTTAATTTTTTTTTAAAGTTCTATTAGTTAAAAATAATATTATTTTTCGACGAAAAATTAATAAAAATGGGAGGTGACTCTGACTTATTACTATTCGAGTTCCTGTTGTTTTTTCTACGCGGAAAACGTGAAACTGCTTCATCAAAAATATTAAACAAAAATCATGGTATTGTTAATTAATCATTCGGTACCATCGGAAGGTATTCACCACACTGAATCAAACGTTACAGCAAACATAGAAGGTAGTGATATTGGCAGTGGCAGCCTGTACATCACTGAAAGGTAGATTTGATTCTCTTGAAATAGTCATTGAAATAGGCAAAAAAAAACCCAAAAAAAAAACTCGTGTCTAGCGTCGACTAAATCTAGATCTAGTCCCCGGGTCTTTGGAAAACGCGAAATGGCAAGGAAATAAAATGCAAGACTGTAATCTATCGCTTTAAGACTAAGTACGTAAAAGCGGCAGAGGCTAGTAATAATGTGAATGTGAAAAGAAGATGCCTCATTAAATTTTTATTTTAGTAGGCCTAGGCCCTAATTAATTATTTCAAATTTTAAGGGAGATTTATCATGAATCATGACATTTATGTTATGAAAGTTGCAAAAATGTTTTAAAGTTTCATTCATGTAGGCCTAGAATCTACCTGGTTTTAAACATATGTATTAAAACCTTAAAGTGGCTTAAAGTAATAAATAAAGACTAGTCTAGTGATGTTTTCATCAGATAGGCCTACAGCAAAGCTCATTTACTTTAGCAGCTATCTTGTTTAAATTTTTTTTGGTAAACTTATAGCGGGAGATTCAGGGAAAGCCACTCTATTTTACAAATGGCTGCTGTTTATATAGCAAATATTTTGCTAGCAAACACTGCCGTTTAAATTTAATTTCTGGCCTATATTGATATATTTAGCCATTGATTTTGGTTTATTATTCAATTATCTAGGCCTATAATATTTGACAAAAATATATCACAATATACTTCTATTAAAGCCCTAACAATGAGGCAACTTTGTCGCACATTACTAGCCTAGGCCGATTTTGTGTACCTTAAACAATAGATTACATGCAAGACATACCTGCTGTATAACGGGTCAATTCTCAAGTCTTAACATCATAGCTCCTAGATCAGATCTTCTATATCTATGAGTCTATGACTACATTCTTATTCTATGATTGCCTGCTCACGTTATCTTGTTGGTTCACCTTAATTTAGATATCAGTAGTGATAGTAGCCCTAGAGCATACTACAGTCATATGTTGTAGCAAGAACATTGCTAGTTGACAATGTCGATGGCATCGCTTTTGTTTTTCCTCAAACCAGTAAATAGTAATACTGCTGTAATATAGATCCTATATGATATGGGTTCATAAAGACACTAAAGCATACATCATTATATAATTGTTGGTAATGTAGAAAAATGTAGGCCTACTTGGGTTCATTATTATTAGTTCACATTAGCTTACCTGATAGGCCTACTAACTTAAGTTACTATCACACATGTGACATTAGCATTAAGAAAAGGGGCTTCAGAGATGTTGCCTACAGTTCTTTTACACAATGGTATCATTCAAATTAAATTCTTAAAAATTAATTTTGTTAATTTTATTAATTAACAGTACACAGCAAAAAAAATTGTGATTTTTCTTTTTTATTGTAAAAATAAAAATTTATTTTTTAAATTGTGTGGACAAACATAGCTGTATACACTTTGTCAGTTTTTGACATATAGCTATTTGTTTTGGAAGTTTTTTTTTAAAACTACCGCGTTTGGCACATTGTATGTTAATCTATGAACACTTCTGTGTCAACTCCTTTTTTTTCTCTTTCAATAAGTTTAATAAATATCAATACCCATTACAATGATTTAATTATTAATGTTAATCGTTTTACTTATATTTACTTCCAGGAAGATATTTGTATAGTTTAAACAACCTTTTTAAATTGTTTCAGTTCTGTTTTGTGGCTGAATGATAATGATCAAGGCATTCAGTTGGAATACAAACTCATTTGTTTACATGCCATTTCAAGAGATCTTACAAATTTCCCACATGAACACCTGTTGTGTCATTATGAAGGAAAAGTTCCAGGTAAATCAAGTTTATCAAATATGTACAGTCATCATGTACTTATCCTGGATAGTAATGACAGCTTTTTGTCCCATTTATTTTGCTTGATATTTATCGGATGTAAACTTTTCTGCTTTTAATTTAGCAGTATATTTAAAATATTTTTTAAATTAACCACTTATCATTCACGTTCTTTTAAATATAACAGGGTTAAAGGATGAAAATGAATCAGATGAAGATGAAAATGAAAGAGACAACGATTCAGTAAATGAATTAACAGAAATTCGATTCATTCCACAAAATAAAGAATCCTGTGAGTTAACTTAATTTTATTTATTTTCTGTTACTCTGCAAATATTAATAGTATTTTAAAATTAAGGCCTGATCCGTTATATTGAATAATAGTTTCTCTTAAATATTTTAGTACAAGCCATGTTTGAAGCCTTGGCAAATTGTCAGACACTCCATCCAGACAGTGACTGTCAGTTGTCTGGTGATGATTTTGAAGATGCTGAAGAAGGTAGTGGTGATGGTAAGCTTTTTAAACCTTGATTCTTTTTAGGCAGCAATGCATTCTCCAGATATTTAGACAATCTGTTATTCCTTCAAAAAGCTTAAAAATAATCAACTTTTAAATTTTTTAATTTTTAGCTATCTATGACACAGAAGAAAGTGAGATCCTTCTTACAGATCAGGGCAGAATACAGCTGGAGAGGTTGAATCAACTTTTGGGTGCTGGACAAGGTGATGCTGACCTCTCCACTCGCACAAGCGAAATGAGGATAACTAACGGTAAAAATATTTCTGTTGGTCAGAATATTAGGGTAAAAGTATTTTTTGCTTGAACTAATGATATAAATATTTATTTCGTTTAAATAATGGTAAAACAAATTTTTTGGTTGAACTAATTTTTGGTAAAAATATTTTCTGTTCTTTTAATGGTAAAAATGGCCATATATTTTGTGTAACTAAAGGTTAAAGATTTTAAGATTTTCTTGATAAGAAAAAAATCACTTCACACCTTTTTTTGTTGTAGATAACTTTAGTTATTAAGGGTTAATTTATGCTGGGTTCCACATAAAATTTATTTAGTATTAGATCAATTTATTATGGGGGGGGGGGGGTAATTATCTAAAACAAAAAACATACATTTTAAATTAAAAAGGATAATGGTTTCAGATTGTCACAGATAAAAAATAGTACATTTTTATTTCCTCTTCAATGGCTTGTTGTACATAGCGACAGTTTGTGAGATAGCTCCAGTATGTGACATAGCATCAGTATGTGACGTAGCTCCAATATGTGACAGCTAGAAATAGCTTTCTGTTTGTTCTATTATATCTTTATTCATTCACGTTTTTAAAATATTTAAAAAATTATTTTTCAGGTCATGAACCGCCCACAGATTCTGATCAGTTTCAAGATGCGGATAATATGGACAGTTAACTTTTATGTCAATACAGATGCATTATGGGTGGATGAAGGTTTTTTTTTAAGTCATCTTTTACATTATTATTGTTTCATTTTATTTTATTATTCACTCTTGCAAATTTTGCAAGTGAACTGTTACAAAGTTTTTTTTTTTTAATTTGTTTAACAATTTGATGATGTAAGCTGTTGCTGAGCTTTGTTTGATAAAATAAAATGGTCAAATATTGTCTATTTTTGTGTGTGTAGAAATTGAATTCATATTTTTTATTAATGGTAGTAATTTTTTGCCAGTGTTTTATTGTGATAACAAAATTGACAAAAGAATCAGTTGCAAGGGAGATAATAAGGGACAACGAATATTCATAACAAACAACAAAGGCTTGCACTTTGTACATATCAGTTAATGTAATCTTGAATAATAAGAATACTACAAAATAAATTTTAAATTTCCAATTATTAGGTATCAAAATGTGTTATACAATTTTTTTTTAAATTACATATAATTTTACACTAGGTGTGATAAATAATGATACATAATTTAAATATATTATAATGAGACAGTGGAGAGGCTTAATACGACCCTAGTTTACTCAAGAAACCAAAAAGTTCAATGATGAATAAGACCATGAATAGTTTATCAATAAATATTGTTGCAGAACCAAAGCAGATATGACTCCACAATGGTGACTTCATCCATTACAACAGGTGCTATGAAATAGTTCTAAACTTTGTAAGTTTTCTATAAAATGAAATTATCAGACATACCATTATCATATAAATTAGTCAACAGCTCTCATTACTAAAATGAGAGATTCGATTATGTATATTTTTTATGACAATTCAATGCATGATTGCAATAGTTAAACTGAAATGTCAGTACTTGCACTCTTCATTTGAAATGTAACAATACAGTCATGTCCGTGCTTGCATTAGTTCAACTGAATATAGCAAAGCAGTCTTGTCAAAATCCATGCTCAACAGTTGAGTGTGAACACCATAACATTGGTTGTTATACAGTTATCAGCAGTCTAAGGAAATCATGAACATGAGTGTGAACACCATACAATTGGTTGTTATTAGCAGTCTAAGAAAATCATGAACATGAGTGTGAACACCATAACATTGGTTGTTATACAGTTATCAGCAGTCTAAGAAAATCATGAACATGAGTGTGAACACCATAACATTGGTTGTTATACAGTTTTCAGCAGTCTAAGGAAATCATGAACATGAGTGTGAACACCATAGCATTGGTTGTTATACAGTTATCAGCAGTCTAAGTAAATCATGAACATGAGTGTGAACACCATAACATTGGTTGTTATACAGTTATCAGCAGTCTAAGAAAATCATGAGCCTGAACACCATAACATTGGTTGTTATACAGTTATCAGCAGTCTAAGAAAATCATGAACACTTTTTCCCTAAGACCAGGGGCTCCACATCTTCGTATGAGACAGTGGAGATTTTCTTCTCAGCCAGCTGTATGCCCAGGTAGCGCAACCTCATCAGGTAATCTGAGTGAAACCTGCCATCCGTGTGATCCATAAACCTCTTATAATCCTCCTGAAGCCTCTGTAGTGTTCAGAAATGAATATTTTTAGTTCATTATCATTAAGGGATACATTGGTAAGATTATATAAAAAAAAAATTATGAATAATCTTAAAGATTTTTTTATGCAGTAATATTTTATTAAATTAATTGAGTTATCACAGTAATTGAAATTGCTTCTTAGTGTTCAGAAATGAATATGTTTAGTTCATTAAGGGATACATTGGTAAAATTATATAACTAAAAGAATTCTGAATACTTTTGATCATTTTTTAATGCAGTAATAATTTTATTTATATTAATTAAGTTATAGCTGAAGTTGAAATTAGTCTAAGTTCTTAGATGCTGGATTTATTTTGGTAGAAGCTGTAGCCTCTGCTGACTGACTAGGTTGTTATCAAACAGAAGGTCAATTGTAATCTGGCACATGCATCTGACTATCATGTAGCATAATTACAATGCCATGTATTGTGTTGTTTATAATCAAAAGTTTATTAGGGAGTAACAGTTATGCAACGGGATGCATTTATATAAGTTTCATTGGTTGTGGTTTATGTAATTACTAATTAGACCTACACCATTAACCAAAATAAATTATTGTAGATCTTACTCTGAAATCATTTTCAACTCTCTCTTTATGAGCCAGTTCTTTCTGATACTTTTTCTGCAGAATTTCATGCCTGTATTAAAATATTAAATAAAATCGAACAGTTTTTAAATTAAATGTTAAATGTTATTAAATTAACGACCATTTTTTAGAATAGACATTTGTATATGTGCTTAATTTCAAACAATTTAAGTGTTATAAATATTTTTTTTAAATATTCTATTATAAATTAACTCAAGCCTTCATAAAGAAAAAATGACAAATATATATATATAGTATAGTCTATTGACTTTTTACCTTAAATTCAACTTGTCAACTTCTGCTCTATGAAGGGCAGCAACTCTTTCAGCCTCTTTCCTTGCCTTCTCTTCACATTCCTCTCTTGTTAGATCTATCACTTCCTGCTCTCGCTTTTTAAATAACTCCTGTCATGGTAATATAAAGTACGATCAACTACCACAATGATTTAATTAATCGTGTTTAGATAAGATTTAGCATTTTATATGTTTGCTACATTCAAACTATCAGTAGCGTAGCCAGAATCGTCTCATGGAGGGGGGGGGGGGGTTCAAATTTTTACCCGGGGACAAACTTTCTATTTGTACCCCCCCCCCCTCAAACTTTCGATTTGCACACCCCCCTCAAACTTTTGATTTGCACCCCCCCCCCTCAAACTTTCGATTTGCACCCCCCTCAAACTTTCGATTTACACCCCCCTCATACTTTATATATATACCGAGGGGTCTATACACCCCCTTGCCTACGCCACTGCAAACTATGATCAATTTACACAAACATTTAATTAAAAGAGTTTAGATCAGGTGTAGTGTAATATAATACTAAATTAAAATAAAAGTCTTAAAACAAAATTGCAATACCCTGGCTTTACGTAGAGCTTCAGCAACTGCCATCTCTTTCTCCACACTGAACTCATCTCTCAACTTCCTCCTCAAGGCCTCGCATGCCTCAGTGACAGCCGCCTCTTTCAGCCTCTCGCACTCCTCCCACTGCAGCCTCAGAGCCTCCTCTTTCTCCTCCTCCATCTTCTTCCTCAGTTCTTTCATCCTCTCCGCCTCTGCTCTGTCCCTTTGATCAGAGATACGAGCTGCCAGCCGTTCAAAATACTAAACAGATGAAAAGATCAAAATACTAAACAGATGAAAAGATCACTACTTAGAAGTGCTACAGGGGTCATCCATTAATGATGTCATGGATTTTTTGGGACTATTTTTACCCCTTCCCTTTTTTGTTACACATCGTCACAAAAAGCCAGACTCCCTTCCATTAAATGACATCACACCTCAGCCCATAACTCTCCTCAAAAGTGAATTTTTTAAAAACATGGATGTCTTTCTAAAATATTGACTGAGCTCGGCCAAAATAGAGTGTATCAATCAATTTCTATTACAATTTATAAAAACCTTTTGTAAAAAAAAAGTGGGATAACGGCTTCAATTCAGAGTGACGTCACATTATCTGAATTACCCTCCTCATCACACATCGTCACAAAATTACGGACCCCCCCCCCTACCAGTGTGACGTCATTTATGGACGACCCCCCCCCCCCCACAACTTAGACCATTCACGTAGCTGACACCATGAACAACTATCTTTAGAACGACTCACCTTGCTAAAACCAAACTTACCTAGTTCACACCCTAACTACCTCACCAGTATAGAAACACAACTTCCATGACTAACCCATCCACTAAAAACGTCTGACCCACCCATCTAAAACCACAACTGACCTAGCTTACACCATATAGTTAATACATCACCTCTCACCTAAAAAAAACAACACCAGGATTAACTAAAAATAAAGTCACAACTCGCCTAGCCAAGAGCACGACTAACTCAACTAGTTAAAACCACAGCAAAATTACCCATCTAAAGCCACCACTTAGCTAGCTAGGACCACAATAGGGCTGGTAAGTAGGTCACCAACCAGTTCTATAGCTCATGCAGGTTTTATTGAGCCGTAGAACTGATTGGTGACCTACTTACCAGCCCTATTACCCCCGCTCGTCCACACTTCACCTAGCTTTAGACCACAGCCAACTCAGCTAGCCAACACCACGACTTACCCATTTTTGCTTCTCCAAAGCCCTGGCCCTTTCCTCGTCCTTCTCCTGCCTGAGCCGCCTGAGGGCCGCCCTCAGCTCTCGTGTGGCCCTGACCTCAGACGCGGCTACAGCTTCCTGTACAGCATTCTCCCTGTCCTCGCTGTCTCCGTGGCTACTGCTCGCAAGGATCTTGTCGCCTAACTCTGGGGGTCATAGAATGGTTCATTGGTAAGGATCTTGTCGCCTAACTCTGGGGGTCATAGAATGGTTCATTGGTAAGGATCTTGTCGCCTAACTCTGGGGGTCATAGAATGGTTCATTGGTAAGGATCTTGTCGCCTAACTCTGGGGGTCATAGAATGGTTCATTGGTAGCAGAGTTACTTTCATGCTCGAAAGGATATTGTCGCCTAACTCTGGGGGTCATAGAATGGTTCATTGGTAGCAGAGTTACTTTCAGGATCTTGTCGCCTAACTCTGGGGGTCATAGAATGGTTCATTGGTAGCAGAGTTACTTTCATGCTCGCAAGGATCTTGTCGCCTAACTCTGGGGGTCATAGAATGGTTCATTGGTAGCAGAGTTACTTTCAGGATCTTGTCGCCTAACTCTGGGGGTCATAGAATGGTTCATTGGTAGCAGAGTTACTTTCATGCTCGCAAGGATCTTGTCGCCTAACTCTGGGGGTCATAGAATGGTTCATTGGTAGCAGAGTTACTTTCAGGATCTTGTCGCCTAACTCTGGGGGTCATAGAATGGTTCATTGGTAGCAGAGTTACTTTCATGCACGCAAGGATCTTGTCGCCTAACTCTGGGGGTCATAGAATGGTTCATACAGAGTGTATTTCATGCTCGCAAGGATCTTGTCGCCTAACTCTGGGGGTCATAGAATGGTTCATTGGTAGCAGAGCTACTTTCATGCTCGCAAGGATCTTGTCGCCTAACTCTGGGGGTCATAGAATGGTTCATTGGTAGCAGAGCTACTATCACTTTCAGGCACATCAGTGCACCCACCCCCCTTTCACGCGGTCTAAATAGAAGAAATATAATATTTATTTAGAAAATGTATACTTTAGCTAGTGGCCGTCCTCACATCTCTCTCCCCCCCCCCCCCCCACCCCGGAAATTTTAAGCGCGCTCCCCGGAAGTTGCAAGTGCCCCCCCCCCCTCAGGGAGGAAAATGTCAGATAGAAATCAGTAGTTTGAATAGATTTGAGTAGTCTAGGTCAAAGGTCGAGGTCACTGAAACAGGTGAGCTCTGCTTTACCTGCGCCACGGACCGTAAGGATCCTTTACTTATTACAGCACAACCACTGTACTGTAAACTTGACAAAAAGTGTTTACAAAAGTAATCCGTGTTTTATTGATGTGTGCTATTACCGGACATATTTATCGGGACATGTTTTAGTTTTATGTTAGAATTTCTAAAGTTTCGACCACCACCTTTGATAAGCTTGTTTAGATGATTACACCACGTATGTGGGTAGAGGCCTCTCCAGAAGAGGATTAGGCTTGAGTGACGCACTAAAGATTAACCCTGCCCCCCCCCCCCCCATGTAATTCAAACCCTATTGTTGCTTGTTAAAACTGCAAGACACATATTGATGCGGTTGATGCAGTAGTGTAGCGAGGGGGGGACGGACATATGTCCCCGGGCGCCGACGTTAGGGGGCGCCAAAATGGGTTGGAAAAATAAATTGAAAGGTCCAGGGGGTGCAAATCGAAAGTTTGAGGGGGGGGGGGGGTGCAAATCAAAATCTTGAGGGGGGGGGGGTGCAAATCGAGAAGTTTGTCCCCGGGCGCCGGGAAGGGTCGCTACGCCTCTGGGTTGATGTTCGGGGTACCAGGAGGCCCCACTTCTAATCCGCCTCTGTCACTAACCTCATTACTCTTAGCCGAAACCATGGTAGTTATAGGCCTATATGGCTTTAAAACTCCAAGACTAAATCAATATTTATAGATGGCCTTCAATATGCGTAGAATAAACCAAGGAAAACAGGTAGTTATAATATATGACCTATAATGGCGACTTAGTACCCATATATAAGTAACCATTCAACCCTCTATCCCTTTCCCAACATATTCGCCTAGCCCCAACAGTCTATTTTTGTCACCTGTATTTTGTTTAAACAACCACTTATTCTTCATATCGATCACTTTCTATAGATATAAAAAAATCACCGTAGGTGAAGTAATCAGATCGATCGGCCGATACATAAAACCCACTAGGACGGTACACGCATGCCTTATCAAGGGGCGACCAGGTAAATGGGAGGGCAATCAAAGGAAGGGGGGGAGTTATAATAATATCACGCAGAGTTGTTCATTATACGCTCATACTTAGGGGAAGTAAGGCGGGCATTAACGACTTCTTTCCCTTTCTTTGGTCCTCAATAGCGGTTTTATATTTGGTTGTTTTAAAAAATAATTATTTTAATTTTAGGCATTGAAGGGTTAACAAGTACAAGTGAGGTGGGGGAGGCAAACAGGAATGTTTAGTAAAATATTGTATGAATAAAGTAATATTGGGTTTTACAATTGAACTGTAAATGGCTCTTGAAGGGAGAATTTGACAATTTCAGACTACCACGTCTAGATAAGGTACTTCTAAGATTGCCTGAATGAAAGTGTTCACCAGCATGGATGTCCAGACCAAATCAAACAATTTTTGGGTGACACGATTGTTTCTTTCAATGCGAGCCGAATAAAGTGTGGTAGAACGCATGCTTACGAACCCAAAAGTTCGAGACCCAATCGGACAAACCTCGAAATTTCAACAAGGTGGTTCGAGTCGTAAAGCCAGGTGACAACAAATGAGTCATACTAGGTGCAGTGGCGTCACCTGCTCGCCTTGTGAGGTTATTGGGTGGGTGTGAGATATGTCCTATATTATGTTGCCTGACATCAGAGCTGATTATGCAGGTGCAGCACTGTGTTCCACTGTCTAAAAGACAAGGTTCGCTGATGTAAGTTAAACAGTGGAAAGATACTTGTTGGTGTGCTGATGTAAGTTAAACAGTGGAAAGATACTTGTTGATGGTTGCTGATGTAAGTTAAACAGTGGAAAGATACTTGTTGGGCCCAACAATGCTGAAGAAAACAGTTCATCCGGTTTCTTTGGTCCATAGCTTCTTCTGCTTGGTTCTTAATTGTAATGTTGGAAGCGATTTCCTCCAACACAATTAAGTATCACGTGTCAACATGTTTGCGACATATATGCCATTACTATGATTTCAGCCTGCTTTTCTTTCTGGATTTGCTTCCTAGGCCTGTGTCCAATAAAAAACAAACTAGATGGGGTTCGAACTCGGGACTCGGTTAATAAACGTCAGCATTTTGTCTAATCTCCCCCCCCCCCCCTATAACTCGAGTCAGCTGGGTCTGAGCGTCTGAGATGGATGGACACAGTGACGACCCCCCCCCCCTTCTACCCAAACCCAAAATGAGAGAATTATTTTTGCTGCATAGTTTGTTGAATAGAAGCGTTGTATCGAGTTAGCTGAATCTGCTCATTTGATTGCACGCTTGAAGTAATTAATTAATCCCTAATACTGATGAAGAGTTGCACAGTACGAAAATCCCTTCAATAATGGGACAAGCTAGGGAACTAGAATGGTACTTACTAGTACTTAAATTGCTTAGTGTATCACGTTTCTCGTCATACTTGTTTCTATATCCCCAAATTATAGAATTCAAATTATCACCCGACAGTTTATAACAGATCCCCCCCCCCCCCCCAAAAAAAATCGCAAGCCCCCCCCCCCCCCCCCCAATGTCCACTGTCACAACTTTTTGGCCAGCACACAACAAACGCCATTACTCCAAGCCGATGTCCCATGTCGAACGTAACAGTAACAGCTACTTGAAATGTCCCACCGAAGAGCTCTTGTTAGGCCCACAAGGCATATCTTTACGCAAGAGCTTTTGTTTGACGCGACAATTATTTCGTGGGGCCCATGCAGCAACAAAGTGCGACACAACGCGGGCGAGACAATGGCGTCTTTGTGAACCAACACAAGTCAGTCTCAGGCAAGACAAATCGATCTGTTTTACATTGATCTGTAGAGGTTACTGTACGAACTTGACCAACACATTTCAGTTTGTGAGACTGATGTATGTTATTCTTCTATTCTAAAATTAAACCCTCATATCAAGACATACTAATTTGAATTTTGATGGGGTTTGAGACTTGGTTTTTCGGTGTAGTAAATGACGATATTATACATTCCTTACTAATATGGCCGCTAAATTAAATCAAGCAAAACACATTTTTTTATACTGAAGAGAGAACTAAAATTTAAGCTCCGATGAACTGGCCTAATCATAATCTGATGAGTATGCCCCTATTAAAATTTATATTTTGAGGAACTTTTATGATCAGAGACCAGCTGAAGAAGGGGCCCTCAAGAGAAAATGGAGATGGGTTGGCCATATTAACAGGAAGCCTATATTTAGCATAACAATGCAGGCACTCGCCTGGAATCCACAGGGCAAAAGGAAAAGAGGCTGACCAAAGAAGACTAGGAGGGGTTTACTGGAAGAAGACACCAAGAAGATTGGATACACCTGGGGACAGTTGGAGAGACTAGTCCAGGATATAGATACCTGACACCAAGAAGATTGGATACACCTGGGGACAGTTGGAGAGACTAGTCCAGGATATAGATACCTGACACCAAGAAGATTGGATACACCTGGGGACAGTTGGAGAGACTAGTCCAGGATATAGATACCTGACACCAAGAAGATTGGATACACCTGGGGACAGTTGGAGAGACTAGTCCAGGATATAGATACCTGACACCAAGAAGATTGGATACACCTGGGGACAGTTGGAGAGACTAGTCCAGGATATAGATACCTGACACCAAGAAGATTGGATACACCTGGGGACAGTTGGAGAGACTAGACCAGGATATAGATACCTGACACCAAGAAGATTGGATACACCTGGGGACAGTTGGAGAGACTAGACCAGGACACCTGGGGACAGTTGGAGAGACTAGCCCAGGACAGAGATACCTGACACCAAGAAGATTGGATACACCTGGGGACAGTTGGAGAGACTAGCCCAGGACAGAGATGCCTGACACCAAGAAGATTGGATACACCTGGGGACAGTTGGAGAGACTAGCCCAGGACAGAGATACCTGACAGGCACTTGTCAGCTACCTGTATCCCAGGAGGGGCTACAGGATAACCTAACCTATGATCAAAGAGAGAGCAAAAATTTAGGTTGTGAGGAGCTGATATATAGACCTATTAGAACGAACAAAGAACCTGGTTTTAGTGGACCTGATAAAATCAGCTGACAAGAAACTTTTCCAAATCTTTGTAAATACTTTGTTATAACAAGCTACAATTTGGCAACAATGTTATCTGTTATAAAGCAATGCTGATACACTTCGTACCACTTAAACTCGACACTAAACAAACACAGACCAGTTGATATATTTACATTGGGTGGTTTAGGTGCGTTCACCGCGGTACGCTTAGGTAATCTGTTATTTGTTTAATTAACTAAATCTGAAAACACATACAAACAATTGGGGGCGGTAAATAACCCCCTTGCAATTTACCCCCCGGTCATCCCCCACAGATGAATTACAGAAAGACATTACCCCTCCTCTCTCACACACACATCGGTTACAAATGGACCCTAATCGTAAACTTAAACTTAACCCTAAAATAAAGGTTTAGACCCAGATTAGGATGGGAACAATCTTATGTTTTGTATTCTATAGATTGCCTAGTCAAGCTCCCCTTTCGGTCCTGACGATCCGTAGGGCAAATGAAGTAGAATTCATCTGTTGCTTGACCACGCCATAGAAGGGGATGGTGGGATCAGCACTATGTCAAGTAAACATGAGTGGACTAATGCACGTCCTATAGTCACGAGTCTGAACGGTGATTCGAACTCGAGACCTTCTCAACAGAGTCAGAGTTTCTTCCAGGCATCTCTTCGGGTAGGTGGGGGGGGGGGGGGGAGGGGGGTTGGTGGTCTCTGCCCCTCCTCAACCCGAAAAAAGTCTACCGCCCCCCCCCCACGGAAATTTTAAGCCCCCCCCCCCCCCCCGGAGAAAATGTCTGGAAGACCAAACACTCGAGAGAGTTGGTATGAGGCTCCTTGTGGTAAATCTATTAACAAAGAAACATAGGCTCCCCAGGAAACCTAATATTAATGGGACATTATAATTAATGTTATAATTTCTTTCGTGAATATTAGTCATTTTTTTTGTACCCAAAAAATACACACTTGAATGCCAACTTAATAAATTATCGTCAATTAAGTTTTTTTATAATTGAGTTAACCGCTGTTATTTATTAAGAATAGCATACCTGACCAAGCATGCTTGCGTTTTATAACCATTACATTGTTAATGAAGTACAGTATCGAACTGAAGGCGGAGTTCTTTCTTGTAAACATGAAACGTGGACGCCCTAAATTAAATGCACAGTTCCACATTATAGTAATATGGGCAGAGTTTCTTCCAGGCATCTCTTCGGGGGGGGGGGGGGGGGGGGAAAGAGAGACGACGACTGAACCCCCCCCCCCCCCCCGAAAGAAAGACTATCGCCCCCCGAAAGAAATGAAATTTATATATAAAACATATACTTTTAGTAGTGTCCGCCTCCCCCCCCCCCCCGAAAATACGAAAATATCAAGTCGTCGTCCCCCCCCCCCCCCGGAGAAAAAAGTCTGGAAGAAACGAAACACTGAATATGGGACAGTGCGGTTGGGTTGTGGAGCACTCGACTGCTACCTGGAATGTCTCGAGTATCTTCCAGGCATCTCTTCGGGACAGCTCCCTTCCCCCCCGCCCCCCCCCCCCCCGAAGAAAGTCTACCCCCAACTAAATGGAATTTATATAGAAAATATATACTTATAACAGCGTCCGCCCCCCCCCCCCCCGCGAAAATTTCAAGTGCCTCCCCGGAGAAAAAAGTCTTCAAGAAACACTGTCCACACTTCAGACTGATTGACCTCTTTAAGTCCACCCACCTCTGATGGGTACATGGCTTACGTTGGGAAAAGTAAAGGCGGCTGGGCAAAGTGGTCAACCAGTCAAGAAATATAACATGAACCTTCAGGTCTGAAAGGGGATTATACTTATATTATAGAAAACTTTTTCATTGAAAATATCTGAGCAATAATGATTAATATCAAATCATATTGTTTATTTTTTAAAGGTTTTGAAAGAATTTTTAAAATTTCTGTTTAAAATATCATTTATGAGAGTTGTGATGAGTTTTTTGTTTTCCATGTTTTGTTTTGTTTTGTTTTAATTATCTCATACGGCGACGGTAGACCTACTTATGAATATTAATGCTTGATAAACACATTTTTAAAAAGGTAACATTCAAAAGAATATGGTTACAATGATTTAACTAAACCGAAACAATGTTGTTTATATTTGACTCTTTAAAGATAATTAGATAATTAGCGCGAATGTCAATAAAGTAAAGTAAATAATGTAAACACTTACCTATTATCTGATAATGACTAAGTCTCTGTGTTGTTAAAGTTGTCTTATTCAGCATTTTTTCTAATGTTTCGATAGGATCCTTCGTGTGTTTAATAACCCGTAACGACATTATAAAAACTCTTTTGTCTCTCTAGAACAAAGAAGCCGAGCGTGGTGCTTGCTAGCTGGCCTTTTAATACTGATTAAAATAAACGCTACACCGCCACCTGCGATTAACGCCCCCGGAAGTTTACCGTTGCTTGGATCCGTATTCTGCTATTCTCGTTTGTCTTCGCGAGGAAGCTAATTTCCGCCAAATCATTCAACATGGCGAGCTCTATCATTGAACCTTTTCCAGTAGAAGGAATTTTGCCTAAAAAAGAAACAGGCGCTGTTTCATTTCTTACAAAGTACCCGGAATATGACGGTCGCGGTGTTGTAATTGCTATACTAGATACAGGAGTTGACCCTGCTGCTCCAGGCCTGCAGGTAAATTTGGTTCCATGAAACGAACGAAACAACCTATTTTCGATAGGTGTAATAGTTTATTTGTCGGCTGTCGTTTTACGTAGTTTAAAAACTTCTCGTTGAAAATAATCCCACATAATTGTTTGAAAGCTGAAGAAAAGATATTAATTTATTAAATGAATGTTTATTTAAATACCTGGGCTAGTATCATATGCAATTAACTCAACTGTGCTACTCACTGCTATGCAACACATGAAATTTCAAAATGATGACATGACTCATTCAACACTTTGTTGTGATTGATTAAAAAGTAGAAATTTTTCAGATTATCACCATAATTAAACTGGAAATTTTAAAACATTCTGATTTTTTTTTTCTTTTCTCACCAAGTTTTCACACTTTTTTCCTATTTCAGCTTACAACAGATGGAAAAACTAAAGTAATTGATCTTGTTGACTGTACTGGAGCTGGTGATGTGGACACATCAACAGTAGTCACAGCTGTTGATGGTATTATTACTGGTTTAACTGGTCGGACTCTCACTGTAAGTTTGAAAGAAATGTTCTTAATTGTTTAGCAGCTAAATGCAGAAACTGATGCAGACTCAGATTAGAGCTTGTGTATTATAATTGGCAATATTTGATTTACATATGTATACAATACGTTATGTTGAACACAAAACTGAACAATTAGTCAACAATTATAGCACTAAAAAGTAATTTATTGCATTTGTACTTCTTTAAACTTTAGCCAACAACAATCTATATTAAACTTTCAACAGATACCCCAAACATGGAAAGTACCAGATGGTAAATTTCACATTGGTGTAAAAGTGGCATATGAGTTATATCCCAAGCCTTTAAAAGAGAGGATAACATCTGAGAAAAGGGACAAAGTATGGAGTCCCCAGCATAGGGCAGCTCTGTCTGATGCTTTACGAGAATTAGAATCTTTTGATAAGGCTCACCCCACCTGTACCGCTCCAGTAAGTGTGCCATTATTTATATTTGTAGCATGTTTTAAGTTATATTTTAAAAATTAATTCAAATGATGTTTATAGTGCTTCTTTTTAAAGTTTTAAGTTGCTGTAAGCTTATGCTATTTGTTTTTAGGAAGATAAAACACAACGCGAAGATTTACAGGCCAGGGTAGATATCCTAAACTCCTTGGATAAAAAATATCCTGAACTGGGTGCAGTTTACGACTGTGTAGTTTTTCACAATGGAGAAAAATGGAGGTTTGTTCAAGAATATTTGGCTTTTGTTAAAATTTAATGACCAATCCATCTTTTATTAACTATTCTTGATTTTTGCACACCCCCTAAAAGGACAGTAAAATTTTCACTTATTTTCTGTTTCATTTTAATCTTATTTAGTAAATAAGTAAAGTTCCCTTTCAATCCTGACGGTCTACGGGGCAAGTGAAGTAGAGTTCACATGTTTCTGTGACCTCTGCATATGAAGGGATAGTGTAGTCAGCACTATACCCATCCGCCTTAACATACCTTAATGTGAGTTTGGTACCCATCAGAGTTGGGTGGCCTCAGGGACAATCTTCTGACTTGAACCAGGATTTGAACTAGAGTCCACCTCTCTACCGCTAGGACACCCCGTCCCATTTAATCTTATTTAAGATAAATAATATTAGTTATTAGATTTGCACTTCTCCATAACTAATATTTATCATATTTTTAGAGCATGCGTAGACACATCAGAAAAGGGGGATCTGCAGTCCTGCAAATTACTTGCATGTTACAGAGAATCACATGAGTATGGGCAACTGAGTCAAGCAGGTATGTATTAGTTTGTTCTTGTAAAAATGATGTACAGCATGGTTTTTTAATGTTTTTTTTTGCTGTCTTTACTGTTAAGTTAACAATAGTTGCAACAAACAAAAAAAAGCACCCTATCAATATTTTTCTAAAATTTATAAAAAAGTTAATAAGAAAGTCGTAAGCAAAAGCAATGATATGTTTTTACTATTTGTTTTTATTTTAATTTGCAAAACTTTTTGTTACATTGAAAATGTTTTGTAAAATATTTTCTTCTTTTTTTGCCATTTAGATATGCTGACCTACTCTGTTAATATATATGAGAATGGCAATGTGCTGGAGATAGTAACCAATGCTGGTACGTTTCAGATAATAAAAATTATTCTACCTTAGAGACTTAGTGTAAAAAATGTTTTAATAAAAAAACTTTTTTTTTCTCTAAGGATCACATGGCACTCATGTTGCCTGCATAGCTGCTGGAAATTTTCCAGACCAGCCTGAATTGAATGGAATAGCACCAGGGGCTCAAATCATTGGTCTTAAAATTGGTGATACTAGATTAGGATCTATGGAGACAGGCACTGCTCTTGTCAGAGCTGTAAGTTTTCTCTTAGATTCGTATGAGTAATGTTAGAATTAGTCCTGTTTATAAATGTATTTGAAACAAAGAAGAATGTTTACTTTGTTGTAAATACTGGACATGCCAGTTTTGTTGATTCTCTAAATGTTATCCCAATTTGAATAATTACATTTTTTATATGAGAAATTTTTTCCACGAAAAGCAATTTTTTAGTTTTATAATTTATTTTAATATTATTTTAAATTGCATTTTTGCATCCTAATACAGTTTACATTGTAATGAACATTTTTTTTTCTACATTAGATGAAGTACATGATGGATCATAAAGTTGACCTCATCAACTACAGTTATGGAGAAGCAGCTCATGTATGCAATACAGGGTTGGTGATTTTACCTTTATTTCTATAGACCAATTTTTTAACTGCTTACAGAAGTTGTTGATTGTTACCTTTTGAATGGATCTTTAATGAAGGGGGAAGTCTCTTATTATTTTTACACCATAGTGTATTAAATTTTAAAGAGTGGGGGAAAAGGGTATTTAAAAAAAAAGAACAGCATATAGTTCATTGTATTATGATTTATTTTTTCAGGCGCATCATCAATTTGATCACAGAGGTAGTTAATGAAAGAGGTGTCATTTTTGTGTCCAGTGCTGGTAACAATGGGCCAGCAATCTCCACAGTAGGCACGCCAGGAGGAACAACTGCTGCAGTCATTGGTACTTGTTGCTTTATTTATTTGTTCAAAATATTCTTTAGTAATGGTATCAACAATTTGATGTAGCGAGTGGTATGTCTTTCATTATTATGGTATATTATTAAACAATTCTAGTGTTTTTTGGCTACATACGATATTGTGATTGTTGCTCACTAATTCCTTGTTCCATCTTCCAGCTGTTGGTGCTCATGTTACTCCCCAGATGATGATGGCTGGATATTCCATGAGAGAGGCTCTACCAGCCATGCACTATACTTGGTCTTCCAGGGGCCCAGCGTAAGGGAATTTTCTAAATCTCAATTCGTATGTGTTCTTAGAATGATTATTAGCATTACTTGACATTAGGCCAACAATACAAATATAATAATCATATTTGAAGAAAAAAAATAAACACATTTGTAAATTTTTGTTAAAAAACCAAAGAAACAATTTTTGGCATTACTTAGTACTATACAAAATAAAATCTTTACAAACTTGAACTGCTTTCAATCTCTAAATCTACTCTGCATTTCTTAAGTAAAAAAAAAGTTGTAATTTTTGTCAGTAATTTTTTATGGCTACTAGAAATATATTTTTTAATTTAAAAAAAAAATTAGGCATAATTTTACAAAGTTGTAACTTGATATATATTATTAGCAATATATAATCCAACTGATTTTCTTTGTGCCACTAATTTATCCAGTATTTAAGTTATTTTTAAAACTCCTTAGCCATGATGGTGCTTTAGGTGTATGCATCAGTGCCCCGGGAGGGGCAATAGCATCAGTGCCAAATTGGACATTACGAGGTTGTCAGCTTATGAATGGAACCAGTATGAGCTCACCAAATGCATGTGGATCTATTGGTTGGTGGAAATTTATTTACCATCTAAGTTTTTAGAGTGGTCAGGTGGGAGAGGTTTGCTAATTTCAAAAATCCAGTTCTTGACCCTGAAGAGATGAAGCTTGTTAGCTGGAGACAGCAACTCATCTATGAGAGGAAACTCTATCACCAAACAACTGCTGCCTTGCAGCTTGTTCTTGGGTGGGAAAAAAGCAATGGAAAGTCAATGAGCCAAAGGCACATACAGGTTGACATGCAGTTGTGTTTTAGGAAATCCTGTCCAATTTTAAAATTAAAAACAAAGAGGAAAAAGTAAATTTTTATATTTTATAATTGAAACCTTTATTTGTGTCAATTGTTTAATATTCTAAAACTGGAGAAGCTTTTTAAAAATGTTGAGAAATTGTCACATATATAAATGTTTAACTATTTGTTACATTTCTGATTAAATGCATTTGAGTTGTTGTAGTATGTGTCTGTTTCATTCACAAGTTTAACTGACATATATATTTTTGTGATTTCAGCTCTAATATTATCTGGCTTGAAGGCCGGAAAGGTTCATTACTCACCATTCAGTGTTCGCAGGGCATTAGAGAATACAGCAGCTAAAGTAGATGATGTAGAAATATTTGCCTTAGGTCAAGGTCTAGTCCAGGTAATGATTTTGTCATTCACTCCATGTGATGAATCATCATCTTTTCCCATCACTGCCCAACACATGGGGCAGGTGAAGCAGAGTTAGTCTGTTTCAATACTCTGCTTTTAAAGGGATACTCTTTTTAGTACTATGCTCAATTTCCTTATTTTTCCCTTGTTTGAGTCAGCTACCCATCAAAGCTGTGGGGGTATTAAGGGACATCTTATAGACTTGAGCCCAGATTTGAACTCAAGATTTTCTGGTTAGCAGTCAGTCGCACTTCTTCCCAACCTTAAAAAAAAGGGGTCTTACTTGAAAATTAAAATTCCTTAGGCTAGTTAGTTCAAAGGTTAGATTCTACAATCGTACCATACGTTCTGCAATTTAGGTTGAATTTGTTTTGGTATTTTATTTCATTTTTAAAGAAAATTCATGATCCCTTTCTTACTAATTTAGTTACAACCTAGTGCTTTAAAGGAGATCACTCTTCCAACCATGTTTTACCATTTTCTTGTGCTGGTTGCCTAATTTAACCCTAAACATTCTTTTCTAGGTAGAAGCAGCATACAATTACTTACAGAAATATCAGAACAGTCCCTCAGAGAATGTGAATTTGACTGTGACATGCTCAGGAAACAACAGGGGGATATATCTGAGGGAGGCATCACAGCTAGCCAGGCCTACAGAGGTGACAGTCTCTGTGGAGCCATTCTTTGAAGAAAAAACAGGTTTGATTTTGATCAAATATTTTAATATTCACAGCTATGGTTAGGGTAGAAACGGAATATTCTTCATTGCTCTTAATGTTCTAAACTTATCTTTAGTTTAATTTGTACTGGACTCTTTTAATAGGTTTGTAAATGAATTGGTTATGGTAGAGTTGGTCATATACACGTTTCTTAATTTCAGAAAACTCCGCTAAGATCTCATTCAGTGTAAATTTCTGCATGATTTGTACCCAGCCCTGGGTACAGTTCCCCAGCAACTTCCTGCTGATGAATGCCAACAGGTCATTCACTGTTAAAGTTGACCCCAGGGGACTTTCTGAAGGTGTTCATTACGCTGAAGTAAGTCTCCTCCTGAAATATAATTGATACATTTGGAGATTGTTTTTTAAATGATGATCTAGGATTTTTTTTTTTTGTGTAACACAACTGTAAAAATAAATGTTTCAACACTTTTTAAACTACTACCCAGAATTTATTTTTACCTTAGTTTTGATAATGTTTTCTTCTGTCTATAATTATTGTCAAATTTAGTTTTAAAAAATTCACACTGGAAGATATTTTGAAAAAAATCTCTTTTACAGATCCGAGCTTTTGAATCTGGTAATGTGGAAAGAGGACCTCTGTTCCGTGTCCCTATAACAGTTATAGTCCCCACTCGGTGAGTGATAATTTCCATCTTTAAATCCATTCAAGAAAGAGCTAGCCAGGGAAGTCTCTAATGTTGTTGCTGTGTACAAATGATAAAGTTTCATGCCTGCTATGTAAAACAAAATTTGTTGACCTTAATGGTAATGGGAGCTTATCTAGAATAGATTTATCTCTCCTTCTGACAAGTATCAATCCAATGAGGAGTTGTTGCTTCAAGGGTTCATGTAACAAAAGCAAAACTGATAATTTTTTGTTTACTTAGACTTTAACCTTTTTAACTTTTTTTAAATTTCATCTAAATACCTCCTTCTCTAAACATAATGGTTAATTAAATCATCATCCTCTTCTTTTTTCTCCATATAAAATTAAATTCACACAATTTTTCATTACTTATTCATTAGATATTAACATTCACATGTATTAATAAATAGTGCATCTGTCTTTAATCACTTAACTGGGATAGATTGCGTGTCTATACATAACACACATAAGTAAAAGATGTATAGGTTATACACACAGCTTCTCTCCTTGCCATAAATGTCATCTACAAAATGAAACGCTTCTTAAACGAGTTCCGCCATCAGGCATCCGCCTATTTTTGAAGTGCATTAGAAAGCAAAAGATCGTACCTAGCCCTCAAAATTTTTGTAACAGGTTGTTAATTTTGTAATTTGTTCCAAGTTTGGCCATTTCAATCTTGATGAATTTTGTTTCTTAAGAAGATTTACTGATCAAAATGGTTTTATGATTGGGCCTTTTTTTTTTTCTTTCTGTTATAGTTAAAATATCTGTAAAATATATTTACCTGACTTTGTTTTTGTTGTTTATAAAGATGTGATTATTTTGGTTTGGGTTTATAATAAATAGCCTTTTACTTTAAAATAAAAAGTTTTATGAAATGACATTACAAAGTAAATCGTTTTAAAATGTTTATGTATATAAGTTTTTATAGTGTTTAAGCAAATGCATTTTCAATACTTATTTCCATGAAGTTTTAGGTTAAAACAGACCATTTTTAAAATACAGATGCTAGTTTTAAGATGATCTATTGCTGTAATTTTATCCCTACACTAAGTATTTGTTGATCTGATTTCACAGATTAACTGATTTAGTTAACTACACCATCACCTCAATGAGCCAAAACTTTAAACCTGGGCAGATACATAGAAGGTTTATACATGTGCCTTTTGGTGCATCTTATGCCAGTAAGTATGCAGTTATTTATCCAGCAAATTATTTTCATTAATAGGTACAATTTCGTTTACATCTTTTAGTAAAAGAACAACTTTTATTCGTGGTTAACTATTTCTAATCAACCAATTTAATAATATAATATAAAAAGCAGAAATTGACTTGCATATCTTGTTAATTTTTCTCTTTCAGCTCTCAAATTAAACTCATTGGACAATGAAAAGAATGGAAGATTCTTAATTCATACTATACAAATATCACCACAAACTGCATATAAAAAATATGAATTTTCAAAGTTCGTCACAATCAGTGAGAAAGGAGAAGCAGTGTATGCCTTTTCTGTAATGGTTAGTGAAAACCTTTGTTTAACAAATTAATTTAACTTATCAAGCCATGTATTTTATATAATAATTATCTCTTTTATTTAGGTTTAATTTCTAAAATTTTAAATTTCTAATAGAATAAAAGAACTTCCACAATAAAATAAATAAAATATATTAACACACCATTCAGAAAATAATTTTAAAGTATTTCTTTTTCCCTTCATTCTATCAGGGCGACAGCACATTAGAATTATGTGTTGCCAAATGGTGGGCCAACCTTGGAGATGTCACACTTGATATAGCTCTTTCTTTTTATGGGGCACAACTGGCCACTAGTATACCTGTGATGGTTAGTAGTTATTCATTGTATATTCAGCTTAGTAGACTAAAACAAATAAATATTATTATTATCACCTGTTTAATATTTTGTGGTGCTTTGATTATTAATTTGAAAAGTAGGATTTTGTATCAATATAATTATACTTTAATACTTACTATTATAAACTGACATACAACATATTTGTGATAAATTTTTCTAGCATGGCGGAGAAGGGGTTGCCAGATTTGATATTATTTCACCCTTGCGAACTGAAGATCTCAGTCCTAGTCTTTCATTGAAGTCTATTGTGTGTCCTTTGAGGTAATTCCAAGACTTTTAAAACTAAAATTGTTGAATTTTTTTGGGATAAAATTGTTGGGTTTTTGTATTTTTACTGTGTGTTAATAATATTAAATCTGTATACATAAGTTTGATCTTTAAAATTCTAATAAATTAATGCTGTACATTTTGTAAAGAAGGGTACATCAAATCAAATTCGTATGTAAAATCTAATAATATGTTACAAATTCTAAATATATTTTTTTGTTTTTTTTTTAGGCCAACAGATTCCAAACTTAAAGTTTTATCAAAAGAAAGAGATGAACTTAAAGATGGTCGCCAGATTCATGCAATGGAGCTAACCTATTCATTCCACTTGGTGAATGCAATCTTTAATTACCTTTAACACCATCCTTTGTTTACATGAATTTAGATTTGCTCTGTTATAAGCAAAACCTGCTAATCGTTCAAAATTATTCAGTAGTATGCCAACATTTAAAAACAATTTTAACTTCATTTGTATGCCTTTGTTTAAAAACATTTTAAATTTTATTAATCGCTCATATTCCATAATTTAAAAAACAATTTTTGTTTAATTCTACAATAGTTTACTATTATTTGAAAAACAATTCAAAATTAAAATTTTAAATTCAATATTCAGTACAACATAATTTGAAAAAGATTTTTCCTCCAAAAATTCTCCAGCCCAAAGCTACTGAGGTAACGCCTGACTGTGCTCTACTCAACGACACCCTGTATGAATCAGAGTTTGAGAGTCAAATGTGGATTATCTATGATGGCAACAAGCAGTTTATAGCTGCTGGCGACGCTTACCCTGGACAGGTAATATTTGATGGCATTGAGGGGAGAGGTAATAATTGATGGCATTGAGGGGACAGGTAATAATTGATGGCATTGAGGGGACAGGTAACAATTGATGGCATTGAGGGGACAGGTAATAACTGAGGTTATAGAGAGCTGTCATCTCAGTTAAATCTTTGGTTCAGGTGAAAAAAATATTGACTTTTTAAATTTTCCATTGAATATTTTTTTTTTAATCTGCTAGTATGTAACAAAGCTGGAAAAAAATGACTTCACAATTCTAATGCAAGTTCGCCATGAAAAAAGAGAATTACTGGAAAAACTGAAAGACATGGTGCTCCTCATCAAGATGAAACCAGCCTCACCCATAAATCTTGATCTTTATCCTACCTGGCAAGCTGCAGTAACTGGCGGCAAGAAATTAGGCTCGTTAACTGCCCAGAAAGGAATGAGATACCCGATATTTGTCTCACATTTACCAGAGGATAAGTAAGTCATTTTTTATTCTATCAGTAAATATAATGTCTTCTTGAACTATTTTATACAGGAAGTTATTGTCAGTATAATTATTTCCCAGAGTGCATTTTTATACTACAAACACTTATTTTTGTGTGTTTGATTTTCAAAAAGGGTGTAGGGTTTCCAACATAGTTCACTATTTTAGCTTCTCTCTTCTCTAATTTGTAAAACAGAAACTGTTCGTTCATTTACATCTTAGGCATTAGGAAATTTTGTAGAACTTTGTTATCAAATTATGTTTCTAGATTCTAAATTAATTTTTTTGTGGGGTTGTGTCCAGACTTTCTGTACCATTCTAGTTGTAAGGTTTTGAAATAGTTACCATACATTATCTTTAGTATAACATTTAAAAGCATAGACTTCACCAATAAAAATAGAAAGACATGTTAGAATTAGACTTTAGGTAATAATCCGTAAACATGTCAATGTTGCAACAAACCTTTCATATAATTATAAAAAGTATTTGAGATTTTTTTCATTTCTACAACCTCCTTTATAAGATTATTTTTGAAAAGTTGGACTGTTTTCATTATTTTCTTCATAACTAGACATAGAGTTTTGTTTGTTTACATGTTCAGGCTGCCTAAAGTCAGTGGTCCTGGATGGTATTTGACTGGCCATCTCTCACTAGCTAAAGATGAGCCTGGAAAAACAAAGGTGATTTTTAGTTTACTTTTTTCTTTTTCTATTTTCTCAAAAGTTAATTTTGAAAAATGCATTGATAATTTGATATGGTTATAAATGTTAATTAGTTTTATTTTAGTTTAACAAAATAGTGCATAAATTATGGCATGTTTTCAATGTTTGAATTTATTTTTGAATCTTCAAAGATTTTTTTTTAAAGCTGTTGCATTGAAATTCCAAAAACAAATTGAAGTTTTGAAATTTAGCAAAACAGGACATTCCTGTATATTCATCTGGTTGTCTTTGAATTTCATGGGAATAGTGGCAGATTTTTTGTTTGCATGAAACAGTTAAGTGCATCTGGAAAGAATTATATGGAAAGATATTCTATGGAGGCCCTCTTTCTATTGAAGATTATCCAAGCTGTTTGTTAGCTATCTTTTACTTGAGCCACTTTAAAACCTTATGCTAATTATCTCTGAAACCAATTCAGATGGGACAAAACTCATCATCCGAGAATGGTTTGAGTGATGAATATGTGAATGAACCTTCGAGAAAGGCGAGTCATCCACAGGTTAGGCAGTGTGCCAGTTTGCACTTTCAAAACCATATCTGCTTTACTTATACCTGACTCAATACTCTCACCCTTAGCTTTTGTTGGGAATTATATTTTCTGATAGAATTATAACAGGGGTCAATTAGTATGTCACATAGTTGTCTTATTTATTCTTTGATAAGAAAATGAACTAATCAATTAAAGTTAATCTCTCTAAGATAATCCTTTTTAAAGCTTAATTTTTGTAAAGTAGAGGTGTTTATTTTCTTGTTCATTTCTGTTCTTGTTCATTTCTGTTCTTGTTCATTTCTGTAGTGATCACATTTCATTTCTTTTATAAATGTTGATACAATTTAGAATTAATATTTGCTTCGTTAATGTTCACTTGTTATATATTCATGTATTATATAATCACTTGTTATGTTATTTTGTTGCTTTAGTTTCAGTGTTGTTTAATATTACATTAACTGTTTGCATTTGTAAGTTGAGAACAAAAATGTTATGCTTTACTAGAACATTCATATAACAAATAGGTGCACCTAATTATACATTTTATTTCAGATAAATTAAAGTTAATCCAAGTGTGAATAGGATCTTAAAATGTTTTTTTCCTCTTTCAATCTCATTAATCAGTAAAGTTCCCAACCTTAAAACTCCAATTTTTAACAACTTTCAGAATGGTTAATTTTTTTCAAATAATTCTATAAAAAAGTCGACTAAACCTTTTCCTGCTGGTTCTTGCATAAAGTGGCTTGCCATTGTAGTTGTTCAATTAATTCAGATTATTCTATCTGTATTGAATGGAATAACAACTATCACTTACCAACTTGTGTTGTAATTCATGGTTCTTAGAGTGGCTCAAGATTTAAGTACTTCCTATCTGAGTCCTCTTCTAAAGCAAAGGGCAACCCCAAGAAAAAAGAGAAAGAGGCCACAAAAGACGCAGCAGGCAAAGATAAATTCTCCCAGGAGTCTGTGTCTGATGCTATAAGGGACTTGAAGATATCTTGGATATCCAAGTAAGTCAAGTAGTTTATGTCTGTGTGTAGATGTCTTTTTTTGAGATTTGTATTTCACTGAATATGTATGTTGTGTATGTGTTGGTCATGTAGATTATGTGTGTGTGAAAGTGTACTGAATGTGTTATTATATGTGTTAAAGTACTGTTCTTCCATAATGTTATGTGTATATATGTCTCAAAGTTTCCATGTTAAGTTTATTCAGATATTCATTTATTTTGTTACATGAACAACAAAAACAGATAATATTGAATAACTTCTGTTTAAAGAAAATAAAAACAACAATTAAATTAAGGTTTCCATTCTCCGCTTGCTTTGAGTAGTGTGCTTATGGGGTAGAACACAATTATTACAAACTCAATTGAGATGATTTGAAATCTCTGTGTTGATCCACTCTATCTTATGGCAGAGTTCAACTAGCTGTAATAGAAACCCAGCATTTTAAAAGATTAAACCAGCTACAAATTCCCTTCATAAAACCTCTGCTTTATCAGTTGTGTGCCACATTAGATATTTTAAAAAACACAGCTGGAGCTAAGTTTTTTATGACATAAAATTTTATAAAATGTTTCCTCCCAGACCTCCTGTGTCAGCCTCAACAAGTCTTTATGAGGAGCTGAGAAAAGAATTTCCTACCCATGTCCCAGTTCTCATAGCCAGGATGAGTGCTTTAGAAGCATCAGAAGATGTAAGGCTTTTACATTCTGGTTCAGTAGTTTGTACGAGTTTTAAATTTTACTATCCAAGTCATACATTTCAGCAGATACACTAATTTTAAGATTGATCTTTCTGCATTATTTTCATATTCTAAGCTTGCACTCTCTTAACAGTCAGAATTAGTTTTAGTCAGCCTTCATTTCTGATTCTACCATTCACTTGTAAATTGTTGGTGACAGATGAATTTATGTCCACCAACTCCATTTACTTTATTCAGCCTGATTAAAATTGTAATCAAGTTTTTTATATCATAATCATAATCAGAAAACAGCTGAAGTTTTGAAGTCAATAATTACAGTAGGAAATGAAGCTCTTGCTCAAATCGACTCTGACGCTGTTCTAGCTTATTTTGGAATGAAGCTGGACACACGGATCGACTCTGTTACCATAAAAAGGTGAGATTTAAACACTAAATAGTTTTCTTTTATATTTCAACCTCAAAGATAAAGCCCAAAAAATTTTCAAATAATTTTTAAGTCATTCATCTTAATATTAATTTTCATCATTATATCTTGTAATCAACAAATAAAAATGAGTCACTCGTACAAATATTTATTATAAATTTAAAACATTTGAAATACAAATCCAAACAACTTTTGATAATTTGTGATTTATTGTTTTATTTTCTATTCATCATTAACAGTTTTTATAGATTCTGAAAACTATTGGTTGAAATTGGTTTTTGTTTCTAGTGTTAATTTTTGTTACCAATTAGTTGCTTTTGTGTGTTTTTTAAATTTAATTTTTTTTTTTAGTTTTAAATACTTGTGTCTTAATTTATCATATATTTTATCAATAAAAAACTATCTTAAATTTTAATTTATCACTATAAATCTTTTTTGGTGAAAAAAATTCATAATTACAAAACCCTATTTGTTTTTGTAAAGAAAAGTTAGATTGTAAGTATACTGTTAACATTTTTAAGAAATATGAAATCTTTTAAATTGAAACTTACACACTTCAAATATTTGTGAGGACTTGAAATGAATTTTGTTTGCTTACGTTTTAAAATGTTTTTTTATATTTCCTATTCGTATTTAAAATTGGAAACTGCAGATTTGATTCATGAATGTAAATCCATGCATCTTTTTAAAAATAAATTGAAATTAAATTTGACTAGATTTTAAAAGGAGTACCATTTTACCCAACTAAGAGATGTAAGTAGAGATTTAAAAAAAACAAATTATTAAAAATATAAAACAAAGCTAGTATCAACCAATAGAGTGTGACCATATTCTTATGGAATATCCTGCCCTATTATTCTAGTATTTCTTTCATCTTGCACATCATTTATCTAGGTAAGAATTTAGTTTGTCAAAAGCATGTGAAAAAAAGCAGCTAAAATCATTTCATGTTTTTATTTTAATGTAGTCTCACACTGTTGCTATTAGATATTTGGATGCCATGTCTAGATAGAATAAACTCGTTTATGTAGGCTTACTGTGTTATTCTCTCATCTTCTCCAAACAAATTTTCTATCCTATAGTCTGGATTTGTATCCTTCAAGTTTTTTTTGTTAGACACTATTTTGAATAGATATAAAGATGTTAAACGATAATGGCTATTTTTATGAAAATCAAAGAATAAAAAAAACTGAAATAGTAGATATTAGCTTAAATTAAATAAAAAAGTAAACCTAATTTGAGGAGCAAAAAATTAACTTTCTTACTTTGTTTTAATTTTGTCAGCGAAATGGAGAAAAAGAAAAACTGGTTGATTGATATTTTGGTTAAAGTGGGTGTTGCCCAGGCAGACAGTCTATTAGATGAGAAGTTGGCGCTGAAGTCCTCCACTGATGTAACTGTTGAGGATGTCAAGAAAACACACAGCGAGCTCAGTAAATGGGTGGATGTCTCAGAAAACAAGGTCAGTTACCACCATAAAAATGTGTTATTGGTTCTCCACCATAAAAATATGTTATTGGTTCTCCACCATAAAAATGTGTTATTGGTTCTCCACCATAAAAATATGTTATTGGTTCTCCACCATAAAAATGTGTTATTGGTTCTCCACCATAAAAATATGTTATTGGTTCTCCACCATAAAATGTGTTATTGGTTCTCCACCATAAAAATATGTTATTGGTTCTCCACCATAAAATGTGTTATTGTTCTCCACCAAGGGGTCGGCGTGGTCGAGTCGGTAAAGCTCATGGTTTGCTAAACCGAAAAGACTCGAGTTCGAACCCTCGGGCAGATGAGACTCGTTAGCTGGGAACAGCCACTCTTCTAGGAGAGACAACTCCAAAATTAAACAACTGCTGCCTTGTAGTTTGTTCTTGGTTGGACAAAGGCTATGGAAGCAAATCCAAAAAAGAAAAGCAGGCTGAAATCGGAGTCAATGGCCTCAATGACGCATAACCAGTTGACACGTAACGCTTAATTGTGTTGGAGGCGTGGTCGAGTCGGCAAAAAGTTCATGGTTGATAAATTCGAACAAAGTCTCGAGTTCAAACCCACTGGCAGATAAATCTCGATCCCCTTCAACACTAATAATTAAGAACGAAGAAGAAGAAGAAGAAGAAGTTCTCCACCACAAAAATATGTTATTGGTTCCCCACCATAAAAATATGTTATTGGTTCTCCACCATAAAATGTGTTATTGGTTCTCCACCATAAAAATGTGTTATTGGTTCTCCACCATAAAAGTGTGTTATTGGTTCTCCACCATAAAAATGTGTTATTGGTTCTCCACCATAAAAATGTGTTATTGGTTCTCCACCATAAAAATGTGTTATTGGTTCTCCACCATAAAAATGTGTTATTGGTTCTCCACCATAAAAATGTGTTATTGGTTCTCCACCATAAAAATATGTTATTGGTTCCTCACCATAAAAACATAGAATACGGTGACTCTTCACTTAACAAAAACTTAGGTTTCTCCTCAGCATAAAAAAAAATTAAGTGGCTCTTCAGTGTAAAAAAATAAAAATTAAGTTTCTCCTCAACATAGAAAGCAAATATTTAAATGGACTTGAAAGTTGTTTTCATTTTTATCTCTTAACATTTATGTTCATTTATTGATGTGACTGGTTTCATAAACTTCTTACAAGATGTTACTTTAGTTCACTTTTATTTTTCAGCAAACATTCCCCTTTGCTTGGCGTCATGCAGTAGTTGTGTCTCATTATGGACGCTCACTCAAGATTATAATGAAGCACCTAGATGATAGACACAATAAAGATTTAGAACTAAAAATTATCAATGTAAGATATCTGTACTTTTCAAGATTTTCTTGCACATTTATCAAATTTTCTCTAAACATATCAATTTTTTTACACAGAAAAGGTCAATTGAGTCAAAAGAGATAAAATATTTACCTTACATAAATGTGCATTAAATTTAAAATAGTTAAAAAGCTATACATATTTAAAAATCTCAACCCTCAGTGTTTTTATTTCAGTTTAGATAGAATGGTTCATATAGTGCTCATTAGCCTAATACAGTTTTCAACACAATAAAAACGTTTAAAAAATAATTTTTTCTTTTTTTGCTAATCCATAGGTTAACAAAGTATCAATGGGTTGTCTAGTAATTGATTAATTATAGTCTATAACCTATCAGTTAAGTAGTAAAGAAATGTATATAAAATACTAATCAAGTCCATTTATTTTCTCTCATGTAGATCTACAAGCAGCTGGGATGGAGTCACTGCCATGAATACCTTGAGAAGACGTCATATATCCGCTATCCACCATCATACCGGCCGTTCTGAGTTCCTAGATATTTCTTTGTTGAACTTTTTTTTGCCTATTTATGTGCACTTGAATCTTTACCTTGGATTTAAACACTATTCAGCATCTTCTGTTTATCAAAGAATTAAATCACACAAATTTCACTTAAAAAGTAATTTTTTTTCTCGCTGTTATTTTAACATCTTCTGTAACAAGTTGTCTAGAAGGTTAATTAACTGTCAAATTATTGTTTACACAGATTAATGACAGTGAACAAGAAGTTAATTAAGAAGTTAATTAGCTGTCAGAGTACTGGTTATACCTTATAGCTTGGGAAAAATAAATTATTCTAGTTATCTATCAGTTTAAATTAATAATATGCCAATGAACAAATTATTGTTTTAGTTTTATCAGTTCACGAATTGGTAATATCAGCTTACAATGAACAAATGAATTCTTGTACAATAGAAATATATCACACATGGATTTAGTGCAGCAGTAAACATACCCTCCCTTCCAAGCTGCTAGTCCAAATGATAGAAACTAGATGAGCATTTCACATTTATTAGTGTTGGTGGCCTTATGGATATTTGCTAAAACAGCTCAGGTTGTATTAGAATTGATGGCTGGTCTAGCTCTAGTTTTAATTAATCCAGTATTATTCAGGATTTCAAAGAGTAAAAATAGTTATTATACTTGGTTTTAATTTGTGTCATTATTAATATTACACATCACTTAAAAATATCACACTATCTATAATTAAATATAAAATGTCTTCTAAAGTATGAGATTGTTCCACAAAATTTATCCATACCACCAAAAATAAACATGTTTTCATGTTATCTGTCATCACTGACAACTTCCCCCTCAGATACACTGTAGTGTGGGTTGTATGCTGCTTGTCTTACTACACACTACACCACTTGTTAGTACAAGCTCTAAACATTTCTGATACACAACTCAGTAACTTACAGGATTCACAAATAACTTTTTAACTGCATACACATGTGCCATAAAACCTTAACAGAAATGTGAAAAAATAAAATTTAAATTATTTTTAGATAATTCTTAAGACTTCTCTTATTTAAAAAATACTTGCAAGTTAACTTATTTTTTTTGTTGAGTCTGTTAAATGACACTGTTGTTGTGTTTTAGTTGTTTTTATAAAATAACTATTTGTTAAATGTCAATAATTGTATCTTAAGTAAGGTAATGTTAACAGTTATATCTTAATTAAGGTAATGTATTAAAAGTAAGTCTGCAAGGCGCTGGTATATGTAATTAATGTGATAAGACAATATTAAAAAAGTGACGTGATATCAGTCATTACCTCATATTTTTAATGAGTGATTGAGTACTTGCATTAACATGAAAAAGAACTTAAGTGATATCAGTCATTACCTCATATCTTTAATGAGTGATTGAGTACTTGCATTAACATGAAAAAGAACTTAAGTGATATCAGTCATTACCTCATATCTTTAATGAGTGATTGAGTACTTGCATTAACATGAAAAAGAACTTAAGTGATATCAGTCATTACCTCATATCTTTAATGAGTGATTGAGTACTTGCATTAACATGAAAAAAAACTTAGGTTATATCAGTCATTACCTCCAGTCCTAAGTATAAATTTTTAATGACTGTTTGAACATTTGATATAACATAAAACAGAACTTAAATATGAAGCATTCTAATGAAAATGCTTATAAATATTTTTATTTTTCCCATTGATACTTTCACAATGTATGGAAGGCCATTCTCACCTTTAATAATTTTCACAGCTTAAAAAGGATTACAGGTCCTTACACCAGTTTTATTTGTTTTATAATTATTTGTTTAAAGTCATTATTGCAATTCGATAACAGGCATTACTTGATATTTTTAAAGACTTAGATTGTTGCTTAGTGTTGCATAATTTTCACAAATTCTATCTGCTGCAAGTGAAAGTAAAATCCTACTCAAATAATTTACATGTGTTTATTTATAACTATTTTTAGCATCATATTATAAATTTATGTGTGTTTTTAGTAAATGGTCAGACTAATGTTTTAAGAAATAATTGTTCATGGGAGTATAAAAAGTAGATATTGTATAGATGAGTTGAGATGAGCTTAGGCATTGTATTGATGAGTTTAGGCATTGTATAGAGCAGGGGTCTCCAAACTACGGCCCGCGGGCCGGATGCGGCCCGCGAAGTCCTCTCATCCGGCCCGCGGAGATCTTTTTGTCCAAGGAAAAATCGTTTGTTGGTGATGGCTGAGGAACTTTGCCCAGAAAAATCAAAGACATGCCTAGAAGAAACTGGCCCTGAATTGAAATTTGATAGTTAATGCGGCCCTCGGATTGAAAAGTTTGGAGACCCCTGGTATAGAGTTTAAGATTAGGTTAGGCTTTGTGTAGATGAGTTAAAGATGAGCTTAGACAATGTGTAAATGAGTTAAAGATAGGAAGTATGTAGAATATATTTACAAGAACGATATACAGATGAGTATAATCAAGTAAGCTTAGTCATTGTAATAGTTGTTTCAATAAGTTGCATGTGAACATTCAGAAGATACAGTTGGAACTTTTTGTTGTTTAAATAAAGGTTAATTTTGGTTACCAATTAAGATGAGTGTTGAAAGAAATCTGTTGTATGTAGTGTAACTGATGGTAGCTTGTACTAAAAGTACTTATATCTTTTCCCAAGACACAAAGGACAGGTGAAATAGAGTTAATCTTTTACCCACCACGGCATAAAGGGGATAGTGTGGTCAGAACTCTGCCCAGCCAACATTTCTCTAATGTGAATCTGGCACTCAAAGCTAGGTGAACTCCGGGTCATCTTATAGATTCTTCTTCGGGATTGAAACTTGAGACTTTCGGGTTAGCAGTCGTAAGCTCTACCTTCCACCCACACAAAAGTAGGCTACTATATTTGTATAATACTTTTTCAGTGTATCCATAACATATGGACTAAGACATAACAAACTTAACTGAACTAAAGAACACAATAAATAATGCAATGCACTTTTATTTTGAAAAGTTAATACATAGAAGACAATGAATGTTATATTAAAATTATTTTATATTTTTACTTTCTCATATATACAGCGTATGGGGGAAGTATTATAATTATCGTGCAGAAAATCGCTTTACTTCTTCTTGAGTTGAAAAAAAACCAGTTTTAAAATCTGGCTGTACTTTTGTTTATAACTTGTTTATATGAAAAAAGAGTTGGCTTCACTGAACACACACATATATTATACATATATATATACATACATAGATATATTTCTCTCTCTCTCTATATATATATACATATATATATATATATATATATACATATATATATATATATATATATATATATATATATATATATATATATATATATAAATAAAGAAGCCTACATAGTTATATATAGTTGCAATTGGTGTCACCCACCTCTCATTTGCCTAATGGTGTTTGATAAGTGCAAACATTATATTAATTCATGAGGATAAAAGCCATCTTTTTCATAGTAAATTATTGACTAATCAGTTATTGAAAATGCTCAACAAAACCTTTTATCCCCGTAAATTGTGCAGTGGCGTCACCCCCCCCCCCCCCCCGTTGACAGCTTCTAAGTGTGTACATTTAATAGAAACTATGTTTATGTATAGTCGGTTATTACTACAACTGGATTTAGGGGTCATCTATAAATGACGTCACGCTTTTTGACGATTTTTTCCTCCCTCCCCTCAACACGTCACAAAAAGCCAGACCCCCCCCCCCCCTAAAATGACGTCTCACCTCAACCTACAACCCCCCTCAAAATTGTAGTTGAATTTTTTTTAAACATCGATATTTTTCTATAATCTTGTCTAAACTATTACAATTTATTTAAAAAGTTATCTAAAACGCAAAATAACGTCTAAAATTCGTTTTTTAACATTGCTTTTTTATAATGCAAAAGTGTGACGTCGCAACATCTGAACCCCCCATTTGTAATTTTTGCCTTGGTGTCACCCTCTTAAATGGTGTCACCCGGTGCGAACCGTACCACCCGCTCCCGCCTAGCGACGCCTCTGTACCTAACTCACTTTCCGCATCCGACAATCCACTTTTAGCTAATTGTCAAATATCGAAGTGTCACGACAAGCAAATGTTTTTAGTCATGAAACTCGATTGTATTACATTTTTTAAACAGAGTTTCTTCCAGGCATCTCTTCCGAAAATTTTACCGCCCCCCCCCCCCCCCCCCCGAACGAAATTAAATTTATATAATTTATATAGAAAAAATATATTTTTAACAGTGTCCGCCCCCCGAAAATTTCAATTGCCCCCCCCCCCCCCCCCGGAGAAAAAAGTCTGGAAGAAACACTGTTTTTAAAGAACTGGAAAAAATGCATAAAAAACGTTTTAATAACAAGCAATTATATAATAAGGCTCATAAACGGAGAAAATAAATTATTTTCTTTAAATGTATAAGAATACACTACTATTGAAATGTCTATGTAGTTTTTCAATTAATTTTTTTCTTCAATACTTCAAACATCTTAATACAATAAAATAACATGACTAAAAAGTTTGCGCAACAAATGAACGCAAACGATGAGCTTAAAATAGTGCGTAAAATTAGTACTTGAGCAGATATATGAAACATTAATTAATCCTTTAAAAATTAATTAAGCAGCAAATTAATTCTAATTTAATATCACACTTCAGTATCTTATCTTGACCATGTAATAATTTAAAGTAAATTGGTCCGTTAGAAATGGTCAAAATTTCGCTCACCAGTTCCGACCAGCAAGAAAAAATGCATTAAAGCTCATTTAGCACCACACACACCATAAAAAAAAGGACGAGAACCAAGTTAAATAAAAGCTTGTAAAAATAGAAATATATTTTAAAAAAAGTAAAAATGCTGTTAGTACACCAGTTTTTCAATCATTTTACAGCCACCAATCAATAAACGATTGATTCCTTTGGGTCCCAGGATATGTCCGTATGATGTTATGTACTGTCTGTTGATAAATATTTGAAAATTGCTTGCTGTGACCAGGAAAATATATTCGTTAACGTTCCCAATGTTGTACCAAGATGGTGGTGTGATGTAGACTTCCGGTTGCCAGTTAGCCCCAATCATCGTGTTCAGTACAAACTGATTCAGCTGGGGGCGGGGGTTGAACATGAGGTGACAGTTGGTGTCATCCCTAAAGTGGATTGACATTCCGTTGATGGTGGCATTCAACACTACCTGCACCTGTTGAAGATAACACAGGTGAGACGAGATTATAGGATTATGGTAATTACGATAAATACGTATTTTTTTTCTTTTCCAACAGGCTTTGATACTCGTATTATTACAATCAGTGCAAAGTAAATAGCAGAAATTATTATAAATTTATTTGTAGGAAAAGATAAAGAAAGGAGCTAGGTGTAGTAAATAAAGAAAGATTTCACTTTTCCTCTATATTGGTACTTGAAAACGAATCCTTCAGGCAATTTAGCTTTTGTTTTTTTTCAGGTTTTTGAAAAATAACCTGCAGCCAGAAAATAAATTTTCAGCACGCGACGAATTTCGCACAAGTTGTTATTTAAATAGCAGTACTCTATCAAATATATCCACCATTCATAAATTTTCCCAAAAGCATGTATGGAATTTTATTCGGCTTTTTTTTTCTATTACATTTAAAATATTTCCAATGTGTCTGTCTGGAATTTGATCAGGAATAAATGTAAAGTACTTTATAAATTTTACAAAACTTACCACAGCTCCAGGAAACAGGTACTCTGGTAAGTTTATGACAATGTCCAGACAGCTTACAGGGTTGGTCAGTACATGCTGGACACGTGCAATCTTGATCTCTGATTGGTTGAAGTTGATGCCAGTTAGAGATCCTTTGAGAGAAATCCGACACAGGGCAGACGACTTTGTGTACAAGTACCCAAAACAATTGACATCGGTCGAGCAGTTGGCGGCACAGGACACGTGACTTGGTGTCTGGAACGTTTTCGTCTGCGTGAAAATTGGGTTGAAATCTTGTTGTTTGAACGTCCGAGAGTTTAATTGGCTGGAGCTCAAGACAAAAAGTCGCAGAAATATTGCAAGTCTTGTGGATCTGGCTACAGATGGTTTTGCCTGAATCATTTCTAAAGTTTTTATCCACCAAGATTAGAATAAATGGTATACATTTGAACGCTAAAATAGCTTGTTAAAAAGAAATAAAATAGTTTTTATTAACTAAAAGTTACAGAAATGCTGTACTTGAATATGTAAAATATTTTCATACTTTATCTGATCAACTGAAGAAATATTCCCAACAGCGAAATTCGATCACGTGCCATTTCAATTCCTAGACTGGTCTAAAACAAGGTTGGTCAAGTATAACACATCCGAGTGGTGCTATTACGTTAGAAACCCTCAGACTAGAGGAAGACATTTGAGACTGAAAAATTATCCAACCGTGTACAATGTTTTTTGTTGAATGACGTGAAACTGCCTGACTTTATAAAACTATTCAACGTCATTGCTTCACGCTTGCCGGGACGTATCATACACATTTGTAAAGATCCTTGCAAGACACACACACACACATATATTATTCTCTCTCTCTCTCTCTCTCTCTCTCTCTCTCTCTCTCTCTCTCTCTCTCTCTCTCTCTCTATATATATATATATATATATATATATATATATATATATATATACAAAATACAAGCACAGGCGCACATGCATATTAACGTGCATTTTCACATATGCCTTCAGATGCGCATTCACATCCACATACGTATAATACGTAAAGCATGCACACATGTACACACGCACACACGTATACACATACTAATAAATACGGTGACCAGAAAGATGCGCAACGGAAAAAAGCGCACACAGAAAAAAAGCGCAACCAGAAAAAAAACACAAAACGTGGAAAATTTCTTAAAATATGCATAAAGAGAATATGATACACACCCACCCCCCCCCCCCCCACACACACACCCACACCCCCCACACACACGCGCGCGCACGCACGCACAGAGGACAAGATTGGAAAGCTAAGTTTTATCGGACACGAAAGGTTATACAACGTCACAATTTGTTAGAATTTCGATTTCGAATCTTGCACCATTTTAATTTCAATGCATTTTTACTTTCTCGTATATACGAAGTATAGAGAAAGTCTTGTAATCGTGCAAAAAAAAAAAATCGAGATTTTTGCAAATCTCGACGTTTTACATCTCACTGATACGGAAAAACATAATTTTGCAATCTTGTCCGTATGTCTGTGTGTCTGTGTGTGTGTCTGTGTGTGTGTGTGTCCGTGTGTAAACACGATAACTTGAGTACCGTTACAGCTAGGTTGATGAAATTTCATATACAAGTATTTTATCAAAATCGTAGATCCGTATCAACTTTTGAGCGATTTCGGATAACCGGAAGTGGTACTTTTTCTACTTTGAATTTTTCAAAAGCCTATAACTTGAGTACTATTTCAGATAGATAAATGAAATTTGATATGTAAGTAAAAGATCTAATTCTCTACCTTCTGTCAAATTTTGAGAATTTTTCGTTGACTGGAAGTACTTATTTACGCTACTTCCGATTTCTCAAAAAACTAATGTAAATTTTAAAAGT